CGGGGCCCTCCTGGGCGGTCGCGGCGGGGCTGGGAACTGGAAGACGGACGAGTCGACGGCGCGGAAGCTGGACGAGGAGCAGCGCATAGGCCTGGAGATGGAGAGGAAGGCCATCGAGGCGGTCAACGTGGAGCTCAAGATGCCCGAGAAGGCGCACCACGCACCGCTCACCACCAAATGAGAGCGACGAGGGGAAAAGTTGCTGTTTGGGGTGTGTCTCTCGTTTTTGCTTGTGATGCGGATCTGGTTCCGACGGCAGGCTCCGTCTCTCCTTGCGTTGGTCGCATCTGTGTAACTTCCTTTTTTATTCACTATATTTGATACCCAAGATTCTAGACTTGAAACACAAAACGCTCACCACCAGATAGACCTCATGCTGTGATATAATGCTTTCCTCTCGTTCGACTCTGAGCCCGCTACCCAGCCGTCTATATCTACACGCCATAAATCATGCCCATATCGTTGCCCATTCGTACTACGTCTGCCTTCTCAAACATCTCCCACGCGGCATCCGAAAGCTCATCCTGTGCTCTCGCGCCCGGGGACTCAAAGAAATGGTATTCCGGCTCACAGACGGTTCCCGGCTCCGGGAGCGTCCCGTTCTGGAAGTATGCGCGGAGATACTTGGTTGTGCAGCTCGAAGGAGCGGAGGACGAGCAATGCTGGTGGAAGGGAATCGGTGTATGTTAGCCAATGCATCAACACTACGAAGTTCCCCTTTGGTACAACTTACTCCGTATGCATTCTGGGTCAGCACGACCGATTCAGGGAAGTGAGCAGAGTTGTTGTAGGCGGACTCCAGGGGTGTGATACTGTCGTACACGTTGTTAACAAAAAGGATAGGATGACTCGTCTTGGTCTTCGTGTTCTCTGGTTTAGGAAAACATAATTGTTAGCATATTGCCCAGAAAGCCGGTTGGAGCGTTGGTTATAGTCGTACCGTCAGGGGCAAAGTGCCATTTGGGCCGTATCGTCCTGCCGACGCAGGACATTTTGAAATACATGTTGGAGGCGCCAGCCCACTTGCTCACCCGGTGCAGCTTCTCCAGGAACTCGACAAACTGCTCAGGGGAGTCCTCCTCTGGCCTCGCATCGGAGCACGTAATAGCCGGGAAGGCATCCATCTCCATCGACGTCTCCTGGGGCTCGGTCGCGGGGATATCCGCTATGGCGCAAGCTTGCCCTACCAGCTTTCTTCTGTACCCGACCGAGGCATCGTAAAACGCCGCAGCGTCGCCACTTTCAATGGTCGAATAAAGCTGTGCGAGGAGTTGGGCACGCTTCAGAGGAGAGTATAGGATCGTACGGGTGATGACCTGGAGGATCGAATATGTGATAACTTGAGGCATCTCAGGCCCTGACTCCCTCACCCCAGCAGGGATGATGAGAGGATTCCTTTTTAACTTGGCAAGAATAGTATCGCGTCTTTCTCCCACAGCTTCAGGGCTCTCTGCCCAGAGTGAGCATACTTCGGCGCCGGCACCGTGACATGCCTTGTCGAAGGCGAGCAGAATCGAGTCGGCATCTTGAAAGAACTGCGACGAGTCCCCCTGGAACCAGTTTGTGTAATCCACATTTCCTACAATATCCGGATCAGTCGAACGGCCCATGTCTGTCTCGATCAAATACAGGCAATCACTTACCATCGCTCACCATCCTCTCGATCTGGTCTGGGTACATGGATGCAAATACACCGCCGAGGACGGAGCCATAGCTCATGCCCCAGTACCTGAGCTTCTCGTGCCCACTTCTATTCATGATCTCGAGCATATCCCGAGCATGATAGACGGTGCTCAGATGCTCAAAGATGCCCGTCTCGTTGGCCCCGCTCTCGCAAGCTCCCGAAAAGGCCATCGAATGCGCATAAGCATCGTAAACGAGCCCTGGTCTCTCATCAACAACGCCTGCATCTTGAACATTCCATATCAATCTTTTCTGGCTGTTCTTCCAACAGTCCACTCTTGGGGTCGAGACACCGACTGAAATCGAGAACAGGCAATTTTGATTAGCAACGGCCCTGACTGTGGGCTCTGCTGCAGGAAGCACTCACCACCTCGCGGATCCCAGCTGATGATATCCTAAATGCAAAGTCTTAGAATTGTTTGTTAGACTGCCCGATTTGGAACTTACATGATTATCTCCGGCAACCATCTGAATTGCTTGACCGGTTCGAAGAACGGCTTCGATGCCTGAACCTCCAGGACCCTAACATATAAACCATTCTAGGTCAGCGCCAATGGGTGGAAGTAGAGGGGAAAAGACCTCTTATAGATGATAGAATATCAACTTACCCCAGGATTTATGAAGAGCGGGGGAACAGGGTTATCCTTCGTTTTAGCAGCCAGCTTGATAACACCCAGCACAACTCGTTTCGTGTCCATTGGATTTTGCCAGTCCATCGGCACCTATATTGACAGTTAGGGCTGGAATAGTACACGGAGTCATCAATGAATTACATCTAAACGGGCACACTCAAACTGGTCATTGTAGCAACGTTCCCAGTCGAGGCTGTTCTTAGGTATCACCTATACCTCAAGGTTAGTAACTAGAAGAGGAAAGGAAAACGTTTCTACAAATCTAAGAGGGCAGAGTTGAATTACATCGCGCCAGTTCCACTCCTTTGGGGTCTTATCCCCAGCATCATGGTAGTGTGAAGAAGCTGTATTGCCGAGGCCTGGTCCGGCCAGGGGTTGTAATAAGCGAGCCGTATATAAGAGCCCAACCACTGTTAGCAGCGACAAAGCGAACCGTTGTATATGGGATCTGGGCGGCAAGGACCGAATTTCACTGATATGCTGGCCCTTCTCGTCCATCGCGATATAGGATAGCTGTTCACACAACCACCGCTGCGCTTGGTTGACCCAACACCTGAGGGAAAAGCAAACAAGACTGATTTTGGGGGCCTTAAATTAGTTGAAGCAATGAGCCATTACATGTACGAGGCAGAAGTGTCAGAGGAGTAAAATAGATAAGGGTAGAAGCACACGACAGAGAAGCCAAGAAGGAGCCGAGGAAGGCTGGATGATGCAGTCCCCATCCCCTCCAACCAGAACAGCTAGGAATCACGCGAACACAGCAAAAGGGACCCTGGACTGGCTCCATGACCACATAGTCAAATAGGCGACCCCTGAATGGGCGCCTTGCATACACCACCCTCCTCACTGGCAGAAAGTCCCAAGTGCGACGAGTCTGAGTGAGTGAGAGACATTTGGCAAGTCAGGTCCGGGGCTCCGATAAGCCGGGGAGAGGGCTTGAGGGCGGCAGTAGCACACATTGGGCTTAGCGGCAGGCATTTAGGTGCGCTGAGGTGACCACGAGATAAGCGTCCGCCCGCCTGCAGCAGCTAGTCCCCCCTCTGGCCGAGTCAGGTCTGGTGGGTGATGCGCTGTCTGAATGATCGGCAGTGCGGTCATTGTCTATCATGGCCGATAGGGAAAGGAAACCAAGTGAAGAAGGTCGTTAGCATTAAGTAGTAGAAAAAAAATCGTATCTATCCTCCAAAACGAGCCGCTTCTGCCCGCCAGGGATCCAACATGCGCCGTATTCAAAGCAATGACATGCCGACCATGTAATTACCACCGGCTTGAAAAAAGAAAACATCACTCGCTTGATCCACAGCAAATAGGACCCTCCCAAATTGCCAGCACAACCATCCCGGTGTCTGATCATTATCCGAGTTCATAGGATATCGATAGCCACCTCCTCCGTAGAACATTCCGCCGAACCTCAGAGTCGTGACCCGTGCCCATAATGTCACCTCCAGCCTCATTGGCAACCGCGGAAACGACCATTTCAAATATCTCGGTCTCGGCGGGAAACCTGAACAAGGGCGTCGAGAACGTCGTCAAAGTCGCGGTCATCGAGGTCTCGCCCCATCAGAGCGATGAAGTCCTTGAAGCCGAACTTCATGTTGTCCATCAGCTTCTCATCGCCCCTGCGACGGCTGCGGGTCTCCAGATCCCGTCGCTGGATGAGGTTTTCGTATAGCATGTCGACGTCGCGGGCCTCGGGCATGCTGTCGCTGGCAACTTCGGCCCTCGATTCGAGTTCGCGTAGATTGGTCGGGGCCGTGAGAGCCCGTCCGGCCACCGCCAAAATCACCACGGCTGCGGAGAGGGAGAGATGCTGGAAAGCAACCATTTTGAATGAATAGATGTCGAGTAAATGCTGGCCGGCAGCGTATTGGTAATGAAGCGAAATGTAAGAACAAAAGAAAAAACGGTAAGGAAACAGAGACCAGCTCTCAAAGATGTGATGCTACTTCTTCAGTGTTGAGTCGCAAGAAAAGGCCAAGACAAGATTCTTTAAGCTGGGCGGGAAGATCACCCATATAAGGCCATTTGGCCCATGGCCACCACTATCCAGGTTGTCGGGGTTGAACATGGGTTCGCATTGCACTTACGTGTGGGACTCCGGATTTCGTAGGAGTCGTGGCATGGGTTTACTACTTTTGGGCATGGATCAAGCTTCATCTGACCTACTGCTTATAATTTTAGAAAGGCATTCCCGGCTCACAATGCTGTCATAGTTTAAATCTTCAGATATCTTGTAGCAAGTAGGGAAACTCATTCAAGCTACAGCGTCATGGCGATTGGGGATATCAGTGACAACGAAATGTTCCAATCCAACTTATATGCGCATCTATCACCAAGCATTTATTCCTTCAGCCTTGAAAGGTGACGTAGCTAGGCCGTTCACACAAGGAGCCATTAGATAATATGCCACTAGACAGAAATATGCACAAAATGGGGCACACCGGAAAAATACCGGATAGCCCGTCTTCCCGGGCTTAGCCGACATCGCAAAACTTCTTTTGCCTTCGCCGGTGATAGTATTGCGGGCTGCAGGCAATCAACTATTGCACTCAACCAACGAGCACAGCCTATACCACTCCGTTCCCCCCCAATCGCACCTTTATATTTTATAATCATGGCTTCAGTCATGGCTTGGGGCGCCGGCGCTGCCGTTGCTGCCTTCCTGGTAAGCCCACCTGGGTAGATGAACAAGGGCCTCCACGATCTAACATTCAATCCTTTCTTAGGGACGCGCTGGTCTTGTCGCCTGGCGACGCTCGCGCGGAGGTGTCGGCGCAATGGGGAAGGCCTTTTACAAGGGCGGATTCGAACCCAAGATGACCAAGAAGGAGGCGTCATTGATCCTGTCTCTCAAGTATGTTTGCCCCTCTGCATTATCTTCCTCATGGCATTCACTAACACGTTTGACCAGCGAGCGCAGCATCACAAAGGACAAGGTCCGCAAGGCCCACCGAACAATCATGCTTCTGAATCACCCCGATCGAGGCGGCAGCCCCTACCTGGCCACCAAGGTCAACGAAGCAAAAGAACTGTTGGACAAACAGCACTGATACGGGCTGGGCGGGGAGCAAAAAGACATATTATCCACACCGCTTACGAGAACTTGTATACATATAAACGCTGTTTCACCAACAAAGCAATGAGGATTCCGGAATAGTGGGCGGTAGGATACTGTACATGTACAAACAATAATGAGTTTCATAGCGATGGCGTTGATCTGGTTGGTGCGAGAGCTATCCGAGGCGAAGACCGGCTCTTCGAATACACGCCAATGGGCTAATCTAGAAGTTGAAAGGAAAAAAGATCTAAGACAGGCTCACATATGGAGCCCATTCTCTCCTCAAGTCTCTGTCTGCAATCTATGCGCCACTACATCTCTACCATTGGGACCCCGGCCTCTGTAGCGACCTCCGCAGTTTCTTCCGCGGGACTCTCTGATTCCCGGGCGAACATCTCCGGCAGATATTCCTCTCCCTTCTCCTTCGCAGCTTGCTTGCGTGTATTCTCGATGGCGAGTCCAACCGAAGCACGCAGGGTGAACACTGCGTCGTTGCCAGCATTGTGTAGGTTCTTGCTTGAAATGCCAAGGTCCGATAGAACTGCGCTGAGACCACGACCACAGTCGAGCTCTCGCAAGACCTGGTGAAGGACCTGGCTGTCGATCGTCTGTTTGATGGAACCAATGCTGGCTAGATCGATGCCGAGATTGAAGAGGTACCGTATGTCTTGATGGACATCATGTCCCACCAGGGCAATGCTGCGGCCGCCTTCAATGTAGGGATTGAGGATCGTGAGAATCGCCTCCTTTGTCTCTGACTTGGTAGGGAACGTGCTCTCTCTGCAGTGTAGTTAGTATAGGACTGCACCATGACAAAAACCCCTTGGTGGGGATTACACTTACCCAAAGTTGAAAGCATCAGGGCACCCTTGGACGTAGTCACGGTTGACCAGCGCCGACAACTCCCTGACTCGGAGATGATGGGCCTTGATCAATGGCCACCATTCCTGGCCAGCAGGTCCAGGTGCGGTCTTCGCGATGTCCCTTGTATCCAGGATTGCGATGCCAATCTCGGAGATGGGGTTCGGCGGCCTCTCAATGGCCTCGACATCAAAGCAGACGAGAACGAAGTCTTCAGCAACACCGTCGGGAGAAGCCACCCCCAGCAGTTTCTGGGCATCTGCAACCATCTGTTTTCGTTCAAGTTTCTTCCGCTGCGACTTTTGATTATTCTTGCCACGGTTGTCTTTCTTCGGGACGCGCTCCACCAGGCTCACAGTCTCCAGGAACAGCTTCTGCGCAATAGGCGTGGCCGATTTGAAGAGCTGGGCATCATCATCGCTGATGGCGGGCAGTTCCTCGAGAGAGAGAACTTTCTGGTCTCGGGATCTTTGGAAGTAACGTGGTCTGGGCGTCTCGTTCCGGAACGTGATGAAGAACTTGTCCGTGCTGATGCCTCCTGGAATCGCCAATGAGATGCCCAGCTCTTGGTTGACCATGTCAAGGAAATCTTGGAACTGTGCCGTTGGCACGAGCAGGCTTGGCTCGTTTCTAGGCTTTGTAGGGTTGTGGATGCAGAAACTGCTCTGGTTAGAAACGAACCGAGAAGAAGAGAAGGCACCAAGACAGAGCCGCGGAGTAGACTTACAAATCCCACACTCTTCCTTCAGTTATCTTCGCCCAAAATGGAGCTGCCTGGCATACTGTTATTATTGCTCACAGATCAAAGGTCCTTGGTGATTCATCTTGAACTTACATGTGGACGGTTAGTTTTGCCGATGAAGAGCTCCCCGTAAGTGGTGACCACTTTCCAGGGAACAAACGGGAAATCCGCATCCAAGGGCTCGCCAAGTTGGTAGTTTTGGCAGTCGAATGCTCCAGCAGTGCTCGCACGTGGTCCAACGTCATCGTTGATGAACAAACGAGGAGCGCTACCTTTGGGTTTGGGAATCTCAGCAGCAGATTGTGCAATGTCATTTGAAGGAGGCTCATTGAGATCCTTTTCCTCTGGATGGGACTCGGGCTCTGGCTCTCGAAGTGTGAAAGATTTCCCAAAGAGCTTCGATAAAACCTCGAGTCTTCTAGAAATGTCCATTGTCTCAATCACGGGAGGGCACTTGGCTTCTTGGGTGATGATTGAGGAGAGCGCCGTAGGTGAAACGAGTGAGTGACGAGAAGAAAGTAGCCCAGCGAGCTATATGGTGAGTAGAGAAAGGCGGGCACGGTTCCTTTTCGTGTCCTAAAGTACTGAGAATCAGCACAAGAACAAAGGTGCAAGAGGGGAGAGAGAATGGCGTGGGTTTGATGCCTGAGGAAGAGCAGGTGTGCGCGTTCCGTTGCTCTTGTACGCCAACAGCCGGCAGGTACAAAACCAACACAAGGCCTGGGCCCTGTCCACTCCCGAAATTGATACGATCAGGCGTTCCTTAATTTCAAGTCTTTATTAAACGCCGGGATGTTGCATTCGGAAGAGTATTTCTTCTTTAGTGGTCAACGAACTAGCTGATCGCATTTTCCAAGGTACCATCTCAATATACTTTTTACATGCATAGTGTTTGCCTCCCACTTCCGACGGGAAATATACGATGCCAACACCCGAGATCATTCGGCATTATCTCATTCCAATCATAAAAGCGAGCGAAGATACTTGTCTTGCTTGTTTGTAGGGTGCCTGCATATTCCCGCCCGTGCTATCTTTGTTTGTAGAACTACAGCGCGGTTAGCAAACCTTTGTCTCAATGCAAGCGGGCGGGTGGCTGCTTTCGGCTTACCTGGTCTGCATCATCTAAAGTGACATCAGATGTATCTGCTTGGGTCTTGTCAATCAACCCGAGTTTTCCATAGCGAATCTTGAACCAGAAATCTCTTCTGTCACCACCTAGAGTTCCCGAGAGCAATGCCTTCTTGAAATTGCGGATAAACGAGTTGAAGAATTTCGGCTCCTCGATGTTGATCAACTCTTCTCGCATTACGCCAATGCATTCCATTGCTTGGTCATACTTGCTGTCTCCAAAGCTTTCCGTCACAAGAGAGCGGATGATGTCTCCCATTTGCTTCGCGGCATCTTCGATTTCGCTCTCCGATTCAGTTGTTCCGATTGCATTCTTGAAGTCTGGAACTGGATTTTCAGGGCTGATTGTGCCCTTGTCATCGCCCAAGAGAGCATCCACATCCAAGCCAGAAATGGGCTTGACTGCGTCTCTTCGTCGCTTACCCTTCGCCTTAGGCGGTACTAGATAGGATTGTTAGCAAGAAATGTGTGAATTTATTGGAGGCGTTTCGAGCTTGCCTTTCTTGACGTCAGAAGCCTCAATCAAAGCCTCAATCGCGTCTTTATTCTTCGCTAGGAGGTCTTTAGGGGGAGAAGAGAATTGTAGTAAGATTGGTGGAATGTTCGGCACAGAGCCGTCTGGATGTATCGCCCTGTTCTTTACGGCATGATTGATACGATGGATCGACGGATTGTAAGACTCCTCGATTGGGGCATACTCGGACGGTTCCCTAGACCGGTTGTTAGCATTATGGGTCATTGGGAAGGGACTCGTAGGCGGCTAATCTCACCCGTCATCGTCAACCCCATAGGTCGAGATGTCCATCGCATCAACATAATCGCTCATGGCCAAGTTGAGGTCGTCTGAAGGCAGGAACCGATGTTCGCTTTTTAGCGTCTGTCCAGTAATAGTAACAACCCTGTCTAATGGTGGAAATTGATAGCTGCGGATGTCTTCGGCGAAAGGTAACGGTACGTCATAGAGACACTCCAGACCTGGCTCAACGTGTGGTGCCAATAGGACCAACTGAGGGTCCTTGCCATCCTTGGTAACAAGACGTGCGACGGCATATGACTCAACTTCGTTGAGTGCCCATACGAGGGAAGAAAGCGCTAATTCGGACTTCTCATCAAACTTACGAGCGTGGGTAACGCATACCTCGCCCATATTGAGAAACAATTCATACTGGGAGTAGGGTGGTCAGCTGCCAGGAAACCCTCAGGATGAAGATTATGCTAGATTTACCTTGTTCCACGGGATGAAGCCAATGATTGTGAAGCTCTTCACAGACTCGAGCTTCGTGATATTGTGTTCGGACTCGCTGATGTGGACTGCTGTTCTGCCATACTCGAAGCCCTTGGCGAGGGATTCGAATTCTACATCTCGCTTTCCGCCTGGCGCATCCGCATCATTCACTTTGTATGATCGGTTCTGCTTGACGGCAGAAAATTCAATACCTTCCATATCACCGCCGTCGACAGTTTCAGTGGATTGTGACCCGCCCAGTTCTGGCTTGACCACAACTGTGCTGGCCGCCAAAGGGCGAGCCAGGTGCGTCTTGAAGTATCTCTCGACATTGATGTTCATGGCTGCTGGGAATTTTTCTGGATCTCCGAGAGTAAGGGAGCCGTCGTAGGTCTTATACGGCTTAACAGATTTGACTCTGGGTGTGTCGAGCTGGTCAATGGCCTCGCCGATGGAAGCAAAGACGCCATCAGTACAAGCATTGGCCAACGTTTTTAATGTTTGCTCGTTTTCAGCCTAATAGGAATCTTGTTAGACTACGTTGGCATGATTGCTTGGGCTTTGAACAACACCTTTTGGGGAGGCTTGTCTTCCTCTTTAACACCGTACTCTTCATCGTCAAAGTCCACACCCCTAGCAGGGGCAATGTTAGCAGGGGTAGCTATGGTCAAAGGCGCATTTGACTCACAAAATTGTTAGTTGGATGTTAGAGTCGTTAATCTTTTTGGCGATATCCTCAACGTCGTCGGCATCCATTGCCCCCTGTCCATCTGTGACCAGGTATATCTTCCGGGTCCATTTAAGCTTCTTGGTAAATGTTGCCATCATGTCGACAGCGACAACAATAGCAGAAATTGCATCGCCCGTCGAGGTGGTGCTTGGCCCAATGGAAGACTGCAGATCTCGCAGAGCAGTCATGCCCATTGGGCCAAGTTCCTGCAGCACGGAGATATTCTCGTAACCTTCATCCTCCTGCAACTTGTTATTGGTCTCATCCGTGCGCAGCCCCACGACACCAACACACAGCGTCTTGCGATTTGCGGAAACCGTGTCTGTGATTTTGTCCCACACGTATCGCATACTCCAGTCTAGGTCTGATTCTGAGCGTCCATGATTGCTCTGTGCCATGGACGAGCCCAGGTCAATGATGAAGATGCTGGCCTCTTTTTCAGCCATTGTAGCTGGTATTGATCAATCGAAAAAGCAATCGCAGAAGGATGACAATTTGTGAAGAGGAGAAAGCCACTCAGAAGGATGATAATGGGATTATAAAGGGAGATCCTGGCGCATGCTCACAGCCGATGGCGCGCTTGCAGCTGACGTTTAGGCAGAAGTTGAACCCACAACCAGGTGCCTTGCAGGGTCACATCCCGACACGGTTGTAACGCGACATCACGTGACAAGATCGTGGAAACCGCCTGATCATCAATGATGTCAATTGGGGATGCCGGCTCCCCCGACTTCACTCCTCAATTCCTCAGCTCAATTCGAACACTACTGATCAGATTATTGATTTGAGAACCGTCACAATGGCAGGCTCTATCCTCTTCTCGGCGGCGCCGTACCACATAATAGCGTAAGCGTTGCTGACCGCAAAGCCAGTCAGAGCAACCCAATTGCTAATGCAGCCTCGGCAGATATGGCACCCTGCTAGGCACATCCTTCTGGCATGTAAGTCTAATTAAATTTGATCTTTATGTCGATGCGTATGCTTACCAAACGGTAGTCCTTCATTGTCGGGCCAGTTATGTTCAAGACCGTTGAGCGGCCTGTATTCTCGGCTGTCCAGAGCGGACTTTTCCCAACCTACTTTGGTCTGCAGACTGCAATCCCTGTTGTGCTGGCTTTGACTTTTCCTGGAAATACCCTTCTGGGCATTTCAACTGGAGTCTCGGGCCTTCTGGATGAATCGCACCGCCTTGGATCGTTACTCCCAATCACTACTGCCTTCCTCTCGGGTTTTGTCAACTTTGTTGTCTTGCTTCCTACAGTGAACAAAGTTATGAAGCAACGTCAAGGCCAAGGTATGATACCTTCCACATTGATCTTTATTCTAGCACAGGACCAAAAAGACTAACTGGATTCAATAGCCAAGCGTGATGGGAAGGAATGGTACGCCGAAGGTCCTCACTCTGAGGAGATGCGAGCTCTCACCAAGAAGTTTGGCATGCTTCATGGGATCTCCTCTCTTCTTAACCTCACAACTTTCTTGTCCGCGCTGGTCTACGGCTTTACTCTGGGATCCCGCATCCAGCCCCTGGCTGAATGAGTCATGTAAGATATGGTTTTAACATGTAAACGTTTGGATTGTCTGTTTTGAATCTCGTTACAACTCAATCTCCATACTCTCAATGCCAACCATGATCACCTCCCTACCTCCCTTCGTTTGAGTGAGAAATGAAACGAAAGAAAAAACACCATGAACCAATGAACATTGAACATAACAAACGATGCGTGTGCAAATAACCTCGCAATGCAGGGAAGGAGAAACCGAGGGAAGGAGGGAACGCCAAGTTGGTCGGCAACGAGGTCTCTCTCGCGTGTGCCCTTCCAACTGACTGGTGGGTGAGGGGGGGTGGCAAAGGTGCTCTCGCCAGCTAGTGGCTGTCGATTGAACGTGGAGTGGAGTGGGAAAAGTGACGAGGGTCCGGGGTATGTTCTCCTCGAAATCAGCGGCCCTGCATCTTCTGATGCGACGCAAGGAGCTTAGCCTTGATGGCATCGAGGTCTTGTTTTGCTGTGTTGGCGAGGTTGAGGCTGATCTGTCGAGCTCTCTGCTGCTGGCTTCTTGCTCGATTGGCTTCCATCTGTCCAGAAATGGTCCATCGACCAGGTTGGCGTCCGAGAGCTTCGCCGATGTCAAGATCGCCCTCGGGCTTTGGGAAGTCGCGCATGAGGGCAGGAAGGTGCTGGTTGGGGTCTTTCTTCGGATCATCCGTGTTGACCTTAACTTCCTCGAGGTCGGGAGTGGAGGGGGAGGATGAGGATGAGCTGGGGGTGGAGGTAGGAGTGGGTGAAAAGTAGCTTTGCTTGTCACTCATTGTGTCTTGCATTCTTTTGTCTTCTTGTTTCTTCTCAGGAGGGATGATTTTGTTGTGAATTTGAGGTTTGGGCACTGTTGAGTTGAAGTTTCTGAAGAAGTTGTCGCGTTGAAAAAAATAAAAGGCGAGGGCACGTCGTTCTCAGTTTTTAGGGCCCTCGCTGCCTTTCACTGCCTCTCCTCTCACTGGCTTCTACCTACGTAGGGAACGCTACCAAGCTCAACACACATTCACAATCTGGTCTCATGTTTCGGGTGATAAGATTCTTCGGTATCTCATTTGTAGGAGATTGATGTGAAATATCATTCTTTACTATTTTGTATTCTCTCCTCCCTCGTTCTCTTCTCTTCGTAGGGGACCGGGCTGCTCTTTCTCTCAGCCGCTAGTATGCTACAGAAGAAATGTTCGTCGAGCCCAGTGAAAAGCAGTTGATTTTATGAAACTTGAATGATAGGCTCATTTTAACCCAATGACTCGACCATGACTTGATTCAATGGTAACAAACACGTTCGTTCAAGTACAGCGGTGCTGAACGTCAATTACTGCTCAGCAAAAATCCCTACCCTACAGTTATGGCCAAGGAATGCCAACAACAGTCACCATCAAACTCTATTCCTGGAGCTTTTTGTTCATTAACTCACATGATTTATAAAAGAGAGAAAAATACATATTCCATGATCAAAAGGAACAAAAAGGGGGTTGCTAACGAATCAGTAACCAATGTTGCTGTGGCTAGTGTAGAACTGGGCGGGACGTGACTGACTAATCGCCATGGTCATGAATCGGTTGCATTACATGAACATCTGGCAAGAACTGCTTGAAATCTCACCATTGTCAGCATTTTTTATCCTCGCTTTCTAAACCTAAGACTCATTTGTGAATATTTCCCAATTTGAGTTAAAAAGATGGCAGACAAGCCCCAATACCTTACCGGCAATATCGCCGCCATTAATGAATTCATCGACGAATTTGATGTGAGCGATTTGTTGTGACTGAATGGCGATGTTTTCATCTGACACTCAACCCCTTTTTAGGTTTTTCTGCTAGATTGCGACGGTGAGATACACCGGTCATGTGTGATGCATTGAAAAGAAGCTCATTGAAATTAGGCGTACTGTGGTCTGGTGACCATGTCTTTGAGGGTATTCCCGAGACTATCAAGCTCCTCCAGTCAAAAGGTATTCAGCCAGCCCGCCGATTGAGGGCTAATTTGCAGAAAGTAACATTGGCTGGACCGCAGGAAAAAGAACCGTCTTCGTGACAAACAACTCTACTAAATCACGAGAAGAGTATCTCAAGAAGCTCACTAAACTCAACATCCCAAGCACCGTCGAGGATATCTTCGGCTCAGCATACTCAGCGTCCATTTACATTTCCCGCATCCTTAAGCTGCCTCCTGGAAAGAGCAAGGTTTTCGTCATCGGAGAGCTTGGTATCGAGAAGGAGCTAGATAGTGAGAACGTGCCGCACATTGGCGGGACGGATCCCGAGCTTAGAAGAGACATCACCCCTGCCGACTTTGAGGGCCTGGCCAATGGCTCCCTGCTGGACCCGGAGGTTGGTGTTGTGCTGGCCGGTTTGGATTTCCACTTCAACTACCTCAAGATGGCCCACGGCTTTCATTATCTGAAGCGAGGCGCCAAGTTCTTAGCGACCAATATTGACTCTACGCTGCCCATGCATCACGACTTTTTCCTGGGCGCTGGGTCGTCAATGGCACCTTTGGTATCGGCCTGGGGACAGCCCCCCCTCGCGCTCGGAAAGCCCAGCCAGGCCATGCTTGATGCTGTCGAGGGCAAGTTCCAGCTGGACCGGTCTAGGACGTGCATGATTGGAGACAGATTGAATACTGACATCAAGTTTGGAGTTGACGGGAAGCTGGGTGGCACTCTTCATGTACAAACTGGCGTTGACAAGAAGGAGGACTGGGAGAAGGAGGACGCCATTGCCGTCCCTCGGTTTTACGTTGAGAAGTTGAGCGATCTGCTCCTTGCCAAGGAGTAAACTCTATTATGCATATTGATTTTCTAGAAGAAACAAATAGACCCTTGATAGAGAGATAGAGCCGCTCTTCCTACTTTGAGAAGAGTGGAGTTTGATAGACAACTCTGTGGTGTCTCTGCAGAAATTGACAGTATTACCTTTGCCATTGTATCAATTCTGCGGTGCATTTCCTTTACTTTGAAGACTGCCCTGGGTCCAGATATAACGCGGGACGGTTATTTTTGTTTCTGGGTTTCCTTTTGGGCGATTTTGGCCACATTCTTGGGGGGTTTGTAGCCGCCAAGCGAAGTAGGAATGAACATGCCAACCTGCTTCTGGTACTCTTTATATTCTGGATACTTTCCAGTTGTGATGGCCTCCGTGAGCCAAGTTGACCCTTGGAAAAGTAACACCAGAGCGCCAGCCCCAATTCCAGTCCAGCTGTAGACGTTGTTGGTTGCGTAACAGCTCCACTGGTAGAGAACTAGCCAGATGCTCTGCTCCGCAAAGAAATTGGGGTGCCTGCTGTATGCGAACAAGCCCGATGTGAGAAAACCACGATCAAGATCAGCTCGATTGAACTCTTGGGGTACCTTGGCATCCTTTAGGTACTTGTGTTTGGCGGTTTGATACGCTTGATTAAGTAGTTTCGTTAGCAACCTCGACTGGGAATAGAGGGATATACGAATTGAATTGTTCGGGGAACATACTCCACATCTGGCCGTCACTGACGAATTCACTGACGACGAGCAAGACCTCTGCAGCGAAGTACAATACATCTGGTGTTGTGATAGATGGTTCGAACTGGGTGGAAAGCAGAATGGCATACGCAGGTATGCATGAGAAAGAGAATAGAAGGACACTCTGAATGAAAGAAATGAAGGTGATATTGAATATGATCCATACGGGTCGAGGGAGATATTTCTGAACAATGGCCCTGGTGTAAACAAATTAGCTGGGCGAGTTTCATTTGGTTTCGTTGTGAGACAGCCTACCATCGATAGTCCTCCGAGCCAACGGTGTAACCTCCCTTGCGCCAATAGTTGAAGGTCAAGCGCGCCTATGAAAACGTTTTGTTAGTACAATGACGACCTTAGATGAAGATAACATCTCCGGGGTGTCCTTACGCTCCAAAGTGACGTGAATACGGCAATAAGGTCAATGCGGGAGTGGGGGAGGCCGGCTAGCCGTGCCCACAAGGCGAGGTGGACAACGTAGAGGTTGGGTAGGATACTCCACAACCGATCAACCTGGGAGTAGTTTTTGTTTAACTCGGAGACGATGAAAAAGGCGACGCTAAAAGCAACTGAGGCTGCAAATGCAGAAACAAGGGGGTTTGTCTCAACATAGAGTTGAGCGAGGCCGTCGGTATTGTTCAGTAAGTTGGACGGAAGTCCCACGAGCTGCGGAATGAACGGCTCGACAGTTTTCGCATAATCCCCGCACTCGCTGATTGTCTGAAGAGTAGGTAGAGCCATCTTTCGTTTGCAGTATTCTATGATATTTTTTGAAATGTTCGAGGGAGCTGTTGAGAAGCAGAGAAAACCAAGTAATCCGGCCTTTATGTTATCCCTCAAGGTTACCGTATGAAGGTGTTTGCGATGGGGAATAGGCGTCATAGATTTAGGCACTCAGCGGCAAGCGGGTCGCTAAATTTACCCGAGGCAGGGCGCTGATACAGCGATAGACCCACTACGTTATCGTTGATGTCCAGTATAAATCGGGCGTGTTACCACTCTTAGTCGGCCTGACCGCCTTCCCGGATGGGGCTTCCACAGAACGCGTCTGGTGGGGATCCTTCACGGAAGAGAAAGTCGCGACTGCAAAAATTAGCACACTTGCCGTTTCCTCAGGTGCAGCAAGCTTTGACTAAGGTACGGTGGGCTGGTAGGAATGGAACGGGACATTCTCTGCCATATGCTCACACACACTTTCGAGAGCATCTGGTGGCTCTGCACTGCAATGATCCAATCCTGATGGCGATCATGAATGACCTTCTAGAACGTAGCCCCATACCGACACAAAAGTCTGTTGCCTTCTCTAGGCGATTCCTTCCCAATGAGCACGACCATCGAGTCATCCCTGCGGTTCATCTTGAAAACATTTTAGAAAGTGTCTGGACATCCAGTGTTTCAAAGCCATGAAGGTTCTTTGCGTGGCTGAGAAGCCTTCCATCTCCAAGGCTGTAGCAGGCCATCTCTCAGGTGGTGGCTTTCAGACCGTAAGTTCATTGCCTATCTAGCACAGATTTCCCTACCATTCTCAACTATCGTATAAGCACAACTGTTGCATGAGGCTGGAGATTCTAATAGATGAGTATAGCGCAATACTCGGAATCAGTACATCAAAAACTACACGTTTAACTTTGATTTTGGGCAGTCTTGGGGTCAGTGTGATGTCAATATGACATGTGTGACTGGGCATTTGACACAAGCCGAGTTTACCAGCGAGTTCCGAAACTGGAGTTTCCCACCTCCAGAAGCATTATTTGATGCGCCGATAGTCACAAATGTCGTGGATGTTCGTCCCCCCTGAAGCACCACGGCCAATTATGGCATCTTCGCCATGCAGCCAGCTAACGCAAGGGCAGGACAAGAAAGCGATAGCACAAAATATTGCAGACCAGGCGAGATGGTCGCAACTTCTCGTGATATGGACGGATTGTGATCGTGAAGGCGAACATATTGGGAATGAGATTGTCGAAGCTGCATACAAGGGGAATGCCAATATTCCCGTAAAACGGGCCAAGTTCAGCAACATTGAACGCGCGTATGAGCGAAGCCTCCCGCACTTTCTTGTGAAGTGAGTAAAGCTAACGGGTGGTCTGTGATATAGTCATGTCATATCTGCAGCAAAACGTCTCGTTGACCTGGACGAGAAGCAGGTGAGCGCCGTGGCTGCCCGTATTGAGCTGGATCTACGCATTGGATACGCCTTTACACGATTTATCACCAACAACCTTAGACCTCTTCGTGGACCAATGGAGAACCTGGTTATCAGCTACGGTAAATTCCCATGAACAGACGACACTGGACTTTCCCACAACTAACCAATCGATTGTCCAGGTTCATGCCAGTTCCCAACGCTGGGATTCGTGGTAGACCGATATTTTCGAGTCAAAAACTTCGTGCCTGAAACCTTCTGGGGCATCAAGCTAACACATTTGAGAGAAGGCAAAACGATCAACTTCAACTGGGCCAGACATCGGCTTTTCGATCGTATGGCCGTTGTCATCTTGTACGAAAAATGTCTGGCAGCGAAAAAGGCCAAGGTGACCAAGGTTCAGAAAAAACCAACCAAGAAGTACAAGCCGCTGCCTTTGACGACGGTTGAGCTTCAGAAAGCAGCGACGGCGTTACTCCGAATGAGTGGTCAACAAGCAATGACTCTGGCGGAGGGCCTGTACAACAAGGGGTTTATAAGCTACCCCCGAACCGAGACTGATCGGTTCGATCGTGGAATGAATTTGAAAGCCCTCGTTGAGAAGCAGACGCCTGACTCCCGATGGGGTAACTATGCTCGTGGATTGTGCGATGGTGGTTTCCAACAACCTAGGGAGGGTAAACATGATGATAAAGCCCACCCTCCAATTCACCCCATTACATATGCCGCCCCGACTGTTTTGAGTCACGATGAAGGCCGGATATATGAATATGTGGTGCGCCGATTTCTTGCATGCTGCTCCGATGATGCCAAAGGCGAAGCCAGCGACGTTGAGCTTCAATACGGGGACGAGCTATTTAGTGCACATGGCGTCATTGTTTCGGAAAGGAACTATCTTGAGGTGTTCATCTACGAGAAATGGGACAACACAATCGAAATGCCCAAATTTACAGTGGGTGAGCAATTCGAGCCGACCGAGGCTATGATGACGGATGGCAAGACGTCACCACCCAGCTATCTCACCGAGGCCGACCTGATAGCCTTGATGGACGCGAACGGTATTGGAACAGATGCTACAATGGCGGAACATATTCAAAAGATCCAAGATCGAGAGTATGTGGCTACCGTAGATCGAGGTGGTCAGCCAGCTGGCGATCCCGAGCAGAATGATAACGAGCCGGCACCGGCTTCTAGAGGCCGAGGTCGCGGAAGAGGGGGCCGTGGGGGCGGGCGAGGCCGTGGAGGTTCTGGCACGACAACAGGACGCAGAGGGATAAAGCTGTTCGTGCCTACTCAGCTGGGCGTCGCCCTAATCCTGGGATTTGATCGGATGGACTTTGAGACAAGTCTTGGCAAGCCATTCCTGCGGAAAGAAATGGAATTGAAGATGAAGGCCATATGCGATGGTCACACCACAAAGGATGTTGTGCTTCGCGAAAGCATTGCGCAGTATCGCCACGTATACATGGAGTCGCAGCAGAAGCTGCATGTCTTGAAATCAGTGAGTTTAGCGCCCTGCGATGAGCGGCACCACCCACCCATAGCGACAACCACTGACAATGGAGGGTAGGCATGTAGAGAGTTCGTATTTGGCCAACCGGGAAGTTGAGCGTGCGGCTCCTACCCTCCAGTGAGGGTATTTTCTGCTTGATGGTCTCGCATCTATGGGGCCATGACCTTGCATAGCCGCAGGATGGCAGCTTCTTCCAGTCCCGTGGTGGCTCTACGCATTTCAATGTACACCATTGTATACCGGCCGGCCGGCGAGTGTTGCCCACCCAACAGTCTGTCTAGGCACCAAGACGGCCCCTGGTTCGGCTACGCATTGGGCTATCTGCATGGATGTAACCCTCAGCAGGTGGCAAGCGAGCCTGGGGAGATCTCAAACAGACGTCCCTCTACTTCTCCTCAAGCTTGTGACGGCGAGTTTATTGATGGCAATACACTCGAAGAAACTTTGTTGGGGCAGATGAAATTCCTCATCGGGTTTGTTTGGGCTTCTCAACAGGATACTTCCCCGAACGCGGGAGCCGAGCTATGGTGATAGGATGATGGCAAGGCCACATGACTGGCTTCAATTCGCGGCTAAGGTTGGGAAGCTAGGTGTGGCGTATTACCTGGCCTGGATTTCGGACTTTCAGAGTACCTGACGACAATTTCCAGGTTGAGGAGGGGGTTGGAAGACAAAGTGTGGACCAGCCACCCAAAACCAAAATCAACCTTGACCCAAAGCATAGGCCCAATCAGACGACTCCCCAGCCAACGTGAGTGATGGCTGTACAAAGAATTCGCCCTTCGAAACTTGATGCGACACTGTTACTATGAGCAGACTTGCGCGAATTGACACATCCAAAACTCAGAACACCTGCGCCTCCGGCTTTCTCAAGGCGACCAAGTAGTCAAGAAGGGGATAACTCCCCGCTAGCCCCTCTCCTGCATGCCCAACATGGTTCACTCTGCATCATCGTCAGCAAGGCACGGCTCTTGGCTACCCAAGGCTCGCTCTTGATGCAGTGATGATGATGATGATGGCAGTGGAATCAGTCTTACGGAGACGCGTCAACCCCGCAGCGGGTCAAGCGCTCTATATTGGCTCCGGCGATGGGATGCTGGTCCATTACATATTTACAGCACATGCGCCTTTTCATCATCCTCATTGAGGCATTGGGCAGGACTTGTGGAGCGTATATGCGGAGTGTCATCGCACTACTCGGCACTATCACTGCTACACTTATACATATCTCATGCAAAAAAGGTAGCAGCGGAGGAGCATCGGGCTCTCTGAGGTTGAATGTATAGGTGCGTACCGACAATTGAAGCTGGTGATAGATGGACCCCCACGCGGAGACTGAGGGACTAAACCATCCGTACTGATACGCGCGGGTCATACGCACTTACAACCAAGATACCGCGATGGGTCGAGATAGATGACAAGAAGAAAAGTGTATGAAGTCTACGCCATTGATACCCACCTAGGGCAAAGACACACACGCACACAAAACGAATTAAATGGGTGTGTAAGCGAGTGTTTATTGTTGTGATAAATTGTAGCCGCAAACTTGTGACAAATCTGACGCATCGACAGCTGAACGTCCATGCGCCAATCTATTTTCACACATGTAAATTACCATCCCCTCCTAATTCTATTTATGTGGACACGATTTGAAAAACTCTGTAATTGCAATTGGATTGAAATTGAGGCGTATAGCACAAAGGGGGAGCAGACTGCGTGTGGCTTCAGCCGGCCCTCACGTTTGGCCCAGACCTGCGATCACCACTCTCTCGTGTCAAATCGGATGAGGTCATTGAGCTAGAGATCCCACGAGTGCATTAAAATATCTCGTGGATGTGGGTGCTGGGCAAGATCCACTGTCCCCAGACGCGCTGGAGGCAGGCACTTAGATGCTGGCAGCGAGCGGTAGGAGGGCATTCCCAAGGCCACGTTCCCCATCAGCTGGTGGCAGTGGCGCCCTGGCAGATGGGCCTGCCGGGCCGGGGGCGATCGTGGATTCGTGGTCGGCGCACGTTCATCAATGAATATTAATTAACGGACGGGGCAAATCAATAGGGGGTAGAGTAAATAAATTTTGCCCTGCCCTAAGTCTATTTACTAGCGCGCAGGAAGGCCAAAAACTCGCCAAATTGATTTAGGGATGCGAAGTACCGTGACGTACCTAGTGGCATTTCAAGGCAGGTCTGATGATGATGGTTCTCCGGCGCCGGGCAAGAAGCAGGCTGCATGGAGATGATGGACTCATCAATCGCGATCCATCAGCCCCCGCGTGGTCGGCGAAAGTCGGATATGGGGAACTGCACCAGTGCAACACGTACATGGTACCTATGACTCCTTCTAGTCTGCCGCTATGAATTCTAGGAGGTAGGGAGTAGAGTGCCACTGTTAGCCGCTGCGCCTTAGGTAGTGAATGCCTTCCCCAGAGGCGTGCGCAAGGATGAATGGAGGGCGGGCTATCATCCTCTGGCGCCTTATCTTGGCTTGGTTGGAAACCAACAAACCAGGATCAGTGCTCGTCGAACGTTGGCACGCGCTGGGCCTCACTAGCTGGGTAATGGAAAAGACGGCTGCAGTTCGGAGATCTGTGTACCACCAACGCCTGCCGATCTGGACGCTGGCGAGCATTCCAGTGCGTTCCGTGCCTTGCACCACCACGGCTTATATCTGACAGGTGATGGGCATCCTCACTGATAAGAGCACGCACTACTACCTGGCCAACCGCGCCTACCACTGCCACACTTGCACGCCACGAGACACTGGAGATTCGTTAGGTCGGTGCCCGGGATGCCGGTACATGTGTGTACACCGTCCCGTCAAAATAGAAAGAAAGGGGGCCGTACTCTGTACTCTACTGCGGGCCTCCTTCGTCCATACCTTAGCTTCCAGTTTGCCCTAATACTCCAGTGTGGATGAAAGGCAGAGATCCCAACTGTTTACGAGGCGGCCTGCGTCATGATAACCATACCCTCCTCGCATCTCCCTTTCCGGACCAGCGGGGGGCTTGGAGCATGTGAATGCAAAATGTGTCTGGGCACATGGTCAGGAGGCGAGCAGATGGATGAGTGAGTGTGAGGGGGTGGTTGTAGCAGCAGGCCAATACACACAGCTGGGACAGGAGGTAGCTGGTACCCACTCGCGGTTGCCAGTTTGGGGCACTTAGTGGCTGCCCGGCGGAGGTACCCAGCCGTACCTCTGACTTACTCGTATCTCACACTCCTTCCCCAATCCGGCAGCGGCCTCTGCGTTGGTCTGCGCTGGGCTGATGGATGACTGTTATTACAGCACCATGGTCCGGCCTTCGCAAACTCCCTTCCCTCCCCTTCTCTTCTCATCAACAATACAAGCAACAAAGAAACCCAAACCGCACGATACGTAGTGAAGAACTACTCGTCACAGTCACGATCATCGCGTCAGCTCTGCCAGACTGCACCTAGATTGCTTAGTCTTGCCTATCCACCCCGGCTCCATCTCTGACTCCCGAACTGTTTGGTACGTACCCTGTGTTTATCAACTCCTGACCAGGATGCTTTTTCGACGTGACTCTTTGGCGGTGTCGGATCGCTCGCTCGATGTGCGTGCCGGAGACGCTTTAAATACAGCAGATCTGCGCGTTGTCGATGCTTTTCCTTCATCTCTGGTTGATCTACGCCATTCTCCAGCATCTTGCATATATACTGACGTCGACTTGCGGGTCCAGATACGTTCCGAGAATCTACATCAACCGGTAACCATGGCTACCTTGGCATCAGCTGCTCGCGATATCCCCCAGGCCTCCTTGACCCGAGACAACTTAGCTGTTGTAGCGGATCGGAGCACCTACGGGACTGTGGCACGACCTTTAGACCTCCCTACTCCCCCAAACTCCATATCCCCAGCCCTACCGGCCCATGGCCTCAAGGCGCAACTCCAGAAGGCCAAGCTCGAGCCTATCGACTCTGATCTAGACCTGCGCGAGTCATCAAGCGACCATCAGAGATCGGTATCGCCAGCGCTCGAGGCCTCGGGCGCCATCACCTGTGGCTTGCTCGCGAAATATCACCTCCCAGACATTTTGCTGAACCACGGGCCACTGGCCATTCGCCACATAATGGGATACCTCACAACATCCGTTCCTGGATTTTCTGGTATCGCTCCAGCGAAAGCAAGAAGGCTGGTTGTCGGCGCGCTCGAGGGCCGAGGCGGTGATGGGGGCGGTGTGGAGGGAGAGGTTGAATTTGAAAAAGTTGGATGGGGTCGGTGGGACGCGCGCCGTCGAGGTACCATGTCTCGCGACCGCCAGTTGTTGTCGCCCACTGAGTCGGCTTTCCCCGAAGGCATCCCTATCGCCTCGACCGGAGCTGGCAGAGGAGACGGCAGGCTCAAGGCCAACATGTCGAGCGAACCTGATTCATTTCGGTTCTCTCACGACGCTGCCCATTTCGAGGATGAAGCCGACAAGATGTCTATGGACGGATCCGCGTCCGCTTCATGCTCCGAGGCTCCAGATGATGATGATATCATGATGAATGACGACCCTGAGGATGTTACTGATGACGAAGACTGGGCCACGATGGGCGCGGCCGCTCTTCGTGCCGAGTCGTACCCCAATATGGCTGCAGCTCAGATGGACGGCAACCCTGCTGTGTTCCCTCCCGGCGGGTTGCGACCCTTCTCTGTCGCTAATGGTATGGCTCGTGCTCCACAACCGACAAATCTCAACATGACAGCTTTCGCTGGCGCTTCCGATGCGCAGGAGCGCGAAGCTGTTGAGGCTCTTCTCCGCCTCGGTTCTGTATAATACTGTTCATGCATGCGTGGCGTTTACGGCGAACTTGGATCTTATTATTGGGGAGCGATTTGTTGAATTGGCTGGCCCATAAAAAGCATATCGACGGCCAAGTCTTGAGGCGGCGACCTCCGGAGCATCTTTCCTCACCTTTACTTTCTTACCACTCTATTACTCTTCAACTCTCAACTATTCTTATTTGGAGAATCTGTCCCCGCTTTCGGCTGACTTTCTTTTTGGACCCTCGAGATACCACCTGCCTGGATCACTTTGCTATGGCTTAATACTTGAAGAATCGCGCACAAAGGGGATTTTCATGGCGGTGGGAGGCATCTGCCTATTTTTGGGAGATTTGCTACGAGCTTATTCTCTCTTTTTGGTGCTCCCTTGCTTGACAATGCCAGGCCCTCTGTGTTGGGAATATTTGGCCATCGTTCTGGGAACGATTTGTTGGGCACACATCACGACATCTTGAGCTGCGCTCACCGGCTACCTAACGAGCCGTATCTCCTTGAGACCAAGAAGACTGGTCTCTTCTTTACCTTCACGGAAAAAAAATTAGCATTCTTGCTGCATGTCGGCGTTTTCGAAGATAATTACTTTTTACCCCATTTATCATGGTCATTCGCACCTCTAATCTGCGATTACGAACATCTCTTCAACATCAATTGCGGTAGAGGAGAACGCGAAACAATAAGAAAAACATACTTTATAAACTACCCCAGCAGTGTTCCCTGCCTTCAGTGGATGTGTCGCAAAATGACACCTTCTGTTGTGGGAGGCACACAAAGACTTGGAATACAGAGGGATTCAGATCCCTAGTGAGCGGCCCAGAGGATGTCTGTCTTCTGGAGCCGAGGATAACGGCCTGCCAATGAGACGCAAACAAGGTAGACAGGACAAGGACACACCCGCTGCTCGCATCGGCGGGGTCATCTGCCTCGTGAGGGTGTCGGATGGCAAACGATTTGTTACATGCGCCAAGCTTCATTAAATAGCAATGGAGGACCGTTAGGAGCACTCCCGCAGCGTTAGCAATTGATCGTTTAATGTACCACTAAGTGTGTTCCGTGATGTGATGTGATGTGATGTGCTTTGCTTGTATGATGTGCTTGTGGCGAATGAGGATGGGTGTAGCATGGCGTGAAAGGTCAGGTGTGTGCGTGGTTGAGGGCGTCGGGATGTAACGTGCTCCATGCGTCGCCGTCCTCGACCGAAGATGAGGTTCTTGTTAGTTACACCCATGTGTTTTGATGAACATTATGAGTGTAGTATTGTCAGGTTGACAAGTTGGTTGCACAGTCTGAGGGGCATTCTTGCAGCTTTAATCACGTGAAACAGAAGCCTTATAGCAGAGGTTGGCACGATACTATTTCTGCAATATTGCATTTCTAGTGGTTGATTGATTAGTGTTTACTGCCAGTCAGAGCCAGGTCATTTCTAGTGATTGGAAGAAACAAAGAGGGCTTCCAAGTGGGTGAGAGGAGAAATGAGACACCTAATGAAAGAGTGGTTATAAACAGACTGCTTTCTACGATGAAAAGAAATTTAGCAGTATAAACCGAAATAAATGACAATATATACCGTATTATCTCTGAAGTATGTCTCATTGAATACTGGTCGCAGGCTTGAAGATAAGCAGCTCAATGTTTGAGTATCTGAACTCCATTGTCACCCACTTGGCGGTTTGATCCCACTTGGCAGTTTGTTACGGTTGATAAAGGCGCGGCATTTGATAATTGCCAAAAGACGCGCATTGTCTCCTACCACCTGTCACGTTCGCATGAGATGTTATATGATACTGAGCCTTTGTATTAGCGTCAGGCGATGGCAACCTCCGAGGCGGCCGACTGACAGGCATCGGCCAATCAGGCTAATCGACATTGGGAGATTTCATCTCTGGGCAAGTGCTTATTCGAGGGATGGTATAACGTCACGTCACTGTTGCCACGCGTTGCCCATAACCTTAGAAGAGGCGATGCGATCTTGGCATTCCTCGCCCCTTATCTGGGGACTTGTTCCTTGTGGGGAGGAAGAAGGGCTTGGCGAGCGGAAAGCTTGATTATCTTCTTGGCGCTTGGCGTTTGCTTGGATCGAGGGTGGGGACGCCTTTTTGGCTTGCGAGCACGCTTCTGGATGGGTCACAAGGGACCACCAACTCGCGGGATGGAGGGTGTCCTCGAGTCAATACTGACCTCTGGCGTCTGGCCATCCCGATTCAGGCTATTTGCCTATTATTGATCGCGCCGCCTTCGCTCGCGTAGTTTGGATTGGCAGGAACGCGGGCCCTCGAGGAGTGTTAGAACTACCGTCCTAGTCCTACCTACCTATTCAGACCCAAATACCTTTTTCGTGTCAGGTCTGTTCAGGTTGGGGAATCGCGGAGGCCCCGGCCCGCCCTTTGCGTCTTATTCATTCGTCCAGACGGGACTAAGAGGAGACACAAAAGAAAAGAAAACAATACATACCATGCATGGTGGAAATAGGCCCCGGCAGCACGTCGGTGATTGGCGTGACCGGCTGTCGTCATTCAGCGCGGGGTTCTTGAATGTTCTCTCCTGCTGGACAAGGAGAGAAGACAAAACGTAATGTGAACCATAGTTGTGGGTGCGTTTGGATTGGATTGTGATGAACCAGCCTATCGACGAACCTAATCACACAGCATATCACACAGCGGCGCGGCACAGCCATGATGGAAGGAGCCCGCGGACAGTGTCGTGGATATCTGGTCCAGGGTCCGCGATACTGTATGGACTACGTTAAGGTACCTGCTGACCCGAAAAGCTTAGCAGCGGCTGGAGCAGAGCGGGCGAACGAGAGAAGCGCGTCCGTGTGTGTGCCAATGCTGAAAAGTGCAAAGGAGGAGCCGATAGGTGGTGCACAGTACTCGGGTGGCCGCCCAGCGTACGGCGAGGCCAATGGCAGCCTTGCGAGGAGGGGCCATGCCAAGCCCGCCAAGGCTTGGCATATCTTGGCAGGCTCATATTTGCCTGACGGGGTGGTGTGTTTCTGTTAGTGCGGTACGGCTTGTTTGTATGTCGGCCGCCCCGAGGCCAAAGTCTCTTTTATGGTGCAGAACCTATTTCTCAGCGCCAAGAGCTGCCAAGGCCCGCCAAGGCCCGCCAAGACTTCCAAGAGTCCCGCTCACCCTTTCGCTCTTGCCCAAGCTGTTCGTGTAAATGTAAAGGGCGAAGAAGGTCCCCCCGGGCCTCCGTCGACGTTGTTTCTTTTTCGTTCCCGTTGCCATCTCTCTCATCCGACGAACTCAGAGATTTCCCAGTTTCAGGGTATTTCGCGGTATTTGTGATCCGTGATCCGCCATCTCACAGCGCCCTCGGTGTCATTTGCACTCGCCTGGGCCATCAGCTTTCTGTGCCGAATCGCGCACTCGCCCAATACTCACCAAGCCCTATCTGTAACAAACCGTTAGGCTCCGGCCAGACTTTCGCGCATCATGACTCCTCCCCTTCCAGAGATCCAACCTCAAACGTCGTCGGGATCCAGCAACAACAGCAATGACTCCAAGTCGGCCACTCCTCCGCCATCAAGTACTGCTTCTACTACTTCTGCCCCTCCTTCGACCTCGGCCGACGACAGCTTGATCTGCCGCTGGAATGCCTGCGGCCAGAAGTTCCCTACGCCAGAGAATCTCTATGTAAGCCGCCCTCTCTCTTATCTCCGGTTACATCTGCACCTTAATTTTGAGCACGTTATTCGCCGGCTGCTCTTGTTTTAAGATGCAATGACGTACCGAGCTGCCCTGGTCACACTCGGAGCTATGCCGACTAACAAGATCCGCTGTATAGGACCACATCTGTGAGCGTCATGTTGGTCGCAAGAGCACAAACAATTTGAATCTCACATGCCACTGGAACTCGTGTCGCACCACTACTGTGAAGCGCGACCACATCACTTCGCATATCCGTGTTCATGTTCCCCTCAAGCCTCACAAGTGCGAGTTCTGTGGCAAGTCATTCAAGCGCCCCCAGGACCTGAAGAAGCATGTCAAGGTAGGTTCACCCTGCATATCGCGCGGCTGGGCGCATGTTTTGGATAAAGTTACTGATGCAAGAACCCGCAGACTCATGCCGACGACTCTGTTTTGGTCCGTTCCGCCCAGGACGCTCCACAGCCTCAGCAGGGTGGTATCAACTACCGGCCCCATATGAACAAGCGTACGTCACGACGTTTGAGATAACATGAAACGTAAATACTGACTTCCCCCTTTATAGCTCCCGGCTACTATGATCACAATGGCCAGATGCGACCTAATTACCAGCACCAGCCGCATCCAAGCAGCTACTATGCTCCCCAGCCTTCTACCAATTATGGACTGTACTTCAACCAGCCCACCATGAACAACCAGCGTGCCGAGCATCTTGGATATACCGCTGCCGGTCAACCTCCTGCGTTTGACCGCAAGCGCGCCTACGACATGGTGGATGACTTTTTCAACAGCGCCAAGCGCCGCGAGATCGACACCTCTTCCTACAGCCAGATTGGTCGCTCTCTCCTCCCTCTTCACAACAGTCTTTCTATTCCCAGCGGCCCAATGGCTGCTGCTCCTGAGAGCTATTTGCCCCAGCCAGCCGGTCCAGCCATGGCGCAAACTGGTCCTTCACCGTCCCAGAACCCTTTGGCTCAGCAGTACTATCTGCCCATTACACCCAACGCCCGAACCCAGAAGGATCTGGTCCAGATCGACAATCTTCTTGGACAGATGCAGAACACCATTTATGAAAATGCTAGCCACGCTACTGCTGGTGTCCACATTCACCACGGCAGCGAGCATTTCGGTGGTTTCCGTCATAGCCCTTCGCCCCCAACGATGCAGCGAAGCCCCACGGCCGCCGGTATGCATGTCGGCGCCGAGGCCTATCATCCTGTCTCGGCGGCAAGCATGGCTTCTCCGCTAACCGCCATCTCTTCCACCGGAACGCCCGCCGTCACGCCTCCCTCGAGCTCAATGTCTTACACCTCCGGGCACTCTCCTAGCCCCTCGGCCTCTGATCTGTCCCCCCAATCTCGTCACAGCTCTACGTCCTCGGTTATGTACCCAACTCTCCCAACGAGCTTGCCCGCAGTAAGCCAGGGCTTTGGCCAGTCAACAACCACAACTCTTGGGCCTAGCTTCGAGAGCAACGAGCGCCGCCGCTACTCTGGTGGTATGCTTCAGCGCGCCCGTGGTCCCCCTCCCCGATCCACTGATGATAACAATGGTGCGACCACTCCCAAGGCTAGCGAGCCTGCTGTTTCCGTCGGATCTCCGTCGTCGGAATCGGAGGGCAGCGAGGCTACCCGCGAGAGGGAGGAGCAGTACGACCGCTGGCTCGAGAACATGCGCGTCATCGAAAGCCTGCGTGAATATGTCAAGGGTCGTCTTGCACGGAAGGAGTATGTCGAGGAGGATGAGACCCGGTCACGAGATGGCGATGCCATGGATGTTGACGTTAGGAGCCCCAAGACGCCTGCCCGAGAGCCCAGCCACCCCAAGGAGGGATCTTCGCTCTACCCCATCCTTCGCATGCCAGGCGCATAAGGATGGGTATTGTGATTTGATGAATTTTTTACCATGTATAAAAATCAAGCCGGGGTTCATGGACAAAATGTTGAGGGTTCATGTGATGAAATGGCCCATGATCGTTTCTTTTTTTCTTTCTTTCTTTCTTTTAACGTATATAGTGATGTGATGTTTTATTGCAAGCTGGACATAGGAAATCAGTACCACAAAGTTTGATGGAGGAGCTTTGAAGGGAACATTGAACAATTATCTTGATTTGTGAAAGCAAAAGGTCTTGGAAATATGGAAATGTCAGTTATTACACTGGACAAATGTGAACAATTTACATGTGACTTAAATGAGCATAAAGCATCTATGAAAGATGTGATCTGACGGAGGGATCAATATTATACGTGGGCATCGTGCTTGATTCCTAGCCTTATTCTGCTTTCTCCAACATTGCCGGCCCTTCGCCGCTCAATCAACGCTCTCTCGTGCTATACAAACGTGTCTTCCTCTAGGTCAATTATCTGGCTGCTGTCAATGTTGAACGCCGTTTCCCATTGAGGACACTCGTCATCAAAGGTATCGTAAAACCATATATCCCCGTCCGATGCGGTGACCTCTATCTTCCCTAGGATGGCTTCATAGGTCACGCAGCCGTTGATGGCCGACAAGCCTGCAAGGATCTCCAGGCATGATGCTTGAATGTTCTTGAGGTCTGTTTCGGTAAAAATTCGCTCGAAGGCTTCAACCGTCCCGTGGGCTCGGTCGATGTCTAAACAGAGGTTCTCCCCAAAATAGGCGAGATCTTCTAAATTTGATTCACGCTGTATGAAGAGGAAGTGGTGCGCGTCGCGACCAAAGGCATTGTTGACTTCGAAGAGCATGAATGTCCGCTGAGGCTGGTGATGGGGTTGAGATGACTCCGAAATGTCTGTAAAAGTGATGAGCATTTGATGGCGCACTTGCGGCCGAGAGACGTACCATTCTCGGATGGAGTCTTATCAGGATCGCTGGAAGAACTCTGGTGCTGTTCGGAATCCATTTCGGACGCTGGGTGGGGGTTGGGCAAATATGTGGCTATATTTCTGGCTTTAGAAAGGATCAGGCGTGCCATTTATCTTTGATGTGCCACTTTGGGCTTGTCAGTGCGCGCTGTTGCCTGCTCAAGTTGGCTGAAACACAACATGGCACACCCAAAGCCTGCATACAGCCTCAGATTTCGATATAATATCAAAACAACTAACCTAGTTATTAATACAGTATCAAGCAAAATAATATATAATAATTTAGCATTTTACTTGTTATTTAATATATTATTAAAAAAAAGTACGAGGTCTCTAGCTTGCACGAAAAGACCTCTGGTATGCCATGCTTTATCTCAGCCTCTTGCTGCTGCTACTGTTGGTCCTGCTTGTAGCACTTACCATCTCCTCCTAGCTGGGAAGCATTGAACGGCGCAAATGGCCTTTCATTCCAAACGGCTCAGTGTGATAGAATGGACAGTGCTATCTGGCATCAATATCCGGCTTGCTTCCAAAATATTGCGGGCTTGGACGAGGAAACAATAACGGAGTGAGATGATGGCCCAGAAATTTAACAGACATCAAGATCCTTGGGCTCCGGAGCCTGGATCCAGTTTTGTGATGGACACTGCCGCCGATGCACCTCGAGGTGACGTGGCTAATTGGCGTTTTAATGTTGTCAGTATTAGATTGCATTCAGGACGAAGAATGAAGAAGGCGGAAGAACGAAGATCTCGTGCCGCCATTAGACAAAGCTTCCGCCTTTGCTTTCATCCTATTTACATCCAAATTATCTTGAGCGCTATTGAAGGATCTTTGGCTCTGCTTGGACGGTCGGAACCGAGTGAAAAAGAGTCGCCATCAAGACACTGAAGCTGTTCCTGTCTGCCCCTTATCGAAATCCTAATTAGAAAGAATGTCCTCGTGCAATTTCGCGATTTTCCATTCAGGGAAAGTGGCTAAGCGCATACATATTTTCTTGTTATGTGTGCTGCTGTTCTTCGGTTGTTGGTCTTATTGGCAAAGATCCTCGATGATCCAGGCGGATCGTGTACTTTCGCAGCAAAACGCGGGAATGAGTTTAATTCAAGAACAATCTCTAGGAAGCATTTTATTCATCGCCACTCCAGATGATGGAGGCAAGACAACAGGAAACGTCGCCATCAGTGGATGGTGTCTCTTTACCTGCCGTTAGATTTTGCGTTCTTCTTCTGTTTCGGCATTGGGACTTTCGGCTGCTTTCCCCATTCTCTCTAACCAACGACGTATTAAAAAGGCGAGGAACAAAATCAGGTCAATCTAATAACTCTTAAATATTAACGATACACTATCGTCAATGTCTAATCAGCCTGCTGCTCCAAAGAAGATCGATAGCCTTGATATAGCGACTTCTCTCGGCCCAAGAAAGCGGGGTTAGGCCAAAATAATCTCTTGAATCAGGATCGACTTGACCTGTTGCTAACAGAAGCTTGATGGCCTCGATTTGGCCCCCTATCACAGCAAAATAAAGCGGTGATCTGCTAAAATTGTCCTTTACATCAGGATCTACTTGGCCTGTTGCTAAAAGGACTCTGATGGCCTCAGTTACACCCGACCTGACAGCCCGAGAGAGCGGAGTAAATCCACCTCTATCCCTTGAATTGGGGTCCACCTTGCCTGTTGCTAGAAGAAGCTTGATGGCCTCAGTGTAGCCCCCTTCGGAAGCCAAAGAAAGCGGGGTTTGGCCAGCTTTGTCTCTTAAATCAGGATCAGCTTGGCCTGTGACTAAAAGAAGCTTCATCAAATCTGTTCTGCCACATTGTGCGGCCAGAGAAAGAGGATTTTGGCCTATTGCATTCAGAAAATTGATATCCCCTTTCCCATAATGAAGAAGCACTCGAAGCGCACTCTCATGACCTCCAGTGACAGCGTTGTGAATGGCATCGGCCGAGCTGAAATTTTGGGAAATCAAGTCTTCATTGTCTTGCTGAATGGCGGCAACCAAAAATACGGGATCCCCGTACTCTGCAAGGTATGATATGAGTGACCTTCTCAAAGACGAAAACCCAAAATTATATTCTAGCATCGCTGTAAGACCGGTTTCCTTGAAGTAACTGAAACTTGTCTCTGGAAAACATTCGGATGGGATTGATGCAATAAATCTATTTCGGACATCCTGAAGGATGTTGCGGCTTCCATATATGATAGCTGCAAGCAATGGGCACCCCCAGGGCTCTGACCGTATTTCAATACAGTCCATAATAGAAAGGTAAGATGCGAAAAGATTTGGGGTATCTTTCTCAAACAGAATATATAGGCTCCGTGTATCATCTGGATAAGATTTTCCGTATATTCTCTTATGGAACCGACTCCATTGCCGGCTAGGAAAGATGGAAATGAACTCTGGCTGTTGAATTCCAAGGCTTGCTGCTTTTTCTGCATGGAACAGGACATTCGTTGTCGCATATTCTAGAAAGGGGGAAATCGAGCCAGCCTCTTGGGGGTGTTTTGTCCTTTGAGACATCATATATTCGCCTGAATTTGAAGACATATACTTGAGGCAGACATCTCTGAGCCGTAAGTGGCTGTTGCCAATCGGATTACTCCCCAGTTTGGGCCACAGGTTATATAACCTATCTTCTTGGAGAAGAAAGTCTTTGACAGACTCATGAATGAATTGAACCGTAGACCTGGAGGACCCTATGATTTCGCTTAGTCCCTTGGAGCACTCTATGAGGAATATTCGTGACTCTTCGTCACTCAGGTCTTTGGGTTCCAGATTGTTATCCTTGGCTTGTGAAAGGATGGCAAAATGGAGCTCTTGCGGTGTTAGAGGTCTCTGCGCAAAGAGTATGAACTGGAAGCAAAGAAGTGTCTCATCTTCATTCCCACTGCCTCGAGACAAAAGGTCGAAGAAAAGATCATTTAAGCTCTGGGGTATCTCTCGAAGTTTCTGACGCAGAACATGCATACGGCCACGCTCTCGGTTCAAGATGCTAACGACAAGAACGGTCCACATAAATACCCCAGAAGCTTTCTCTCGAACCTCGTTTTTAATGTCCTGAGCAAGCTTGCTATGTCCTATTCTTAGTTCACAATTGACGTATTCCGCGATATCGGTTTCATGGTCCTCTTGTTCATCAAGATTGAGTTGAAGCCCGATTCCTTCTCTTAATGCGATATGAGGATAATGACGACTTGAAAAGCATATGAGGAGCCCGACCCCGTTTGTAATAGCTAGCTCTCCTAAGCGCTCAAAGAAGGCCACCATATCTCGGACCTCATCATCTTTGCATTCATCAAGAGCATCAATAAAGCATACCACAGATGAGGTCAGACGCTCAACTGCTGCCTCAATTAGCTCTTTTAGCAACTCATTTGTGCATTCTGGCGGGGACTCATGACTGATATACCGAATATGCCTTTTAGGCTTCAGAATAAGTTTTAGTTTGGGGTCATGTTCGAGAATCTGAAATAGGATCGATCGATAGAGCCCGGCTGTTGATTTTTCCAAGTCATGACCCCGTGCGTGGAAGAAGAAACTAAGAATTGCTTGATCTCGTTTCTTGTTCCAACTACTTTCAAGAAGGAACTTCATCATTGTCGACTTTCCAGACCCAGGTTTCCCCTTTATCCATAAAAAGCCTCCATGTTGTCGAATCTTTCCCGGCTCCATCCAATCAGAGTATTCCTTCGTCCCTAGCAGCCAATTGCAGGTCTTAAGTTGTGCTCTTTTTATATGTTGGCGACGATCATCCATTTGATCAAATTGTAACGAATCATACAACTTTTCCAATTTTTCTCTCAGTTTCTCGTCTAAATTTGGTTCTCTGTCCATTTCTACACAGAAGTCGGATTGAGTACAATGTTTAGAAGGAGGGGGGCGATTACTCACGAATAAGTGTAGAGGTGCTAAACTCCAGGCTCCGATACGAAGCAGGCCGGATAGTCAAAAGAAGTTCCTTGGCATATGCTGCTGCAGTAGTTGCTGCATACTCTTGCCACTCTTTGCTTTTGTGCGAGTCACAGTAGTCACAGACTCCTCGAATAACAAGGCATGGAAAGTGGTCAATCAAGCCCGCGGCCTCCATCTCGAAGCATAAACAACCCTTTTTTGCCCAGGTATCTCTTGATTCAGCATGTTTAATAACCCTATTCCCGGAGGCAATTGTTCCGTAATGTATTTGCGGCGCTCTACTTGCTCGAGGGAGACGTTGGACAAGCCTAGACTGATCGCATTGGTCACAGTTCTCTCTGCTCGGCACATGTTCATAGGTGCTGTCAAACAGACGATCTGGACAGTGAACAGGATTTTCGTAATGCTTCATTCCTGGGACGCGGCTGTAGACGTCTCGAAGAATGGCTGGGATCTGCGATTGTTCATATTCATGACATGCTCGCAAGTCAGAGACGGCTGTCAGCATCTCTGGGGGAGGTTTGACTGGACTGCTTGTACAGTGGAATACGCCTCCGTGAGTTGTCTTCCCTAGATCGTACTGCAGAACATTATGGCCAACAACTATATCGCCGAGACGTATATCGATGTTGGGAATGTTTGGGACGCCGCCTCCAATCCCGACCATGAGTCTGATCACGATCTGCGGGAAACTCCTGGCCAGATTGGTTGCTACTACTGCCGCATTGACAGTACCGTGGAACCCCGAGGGCAAACAAGTGATAACAGTATTGTGCTGCCCAATATTTCCAAAGCTGTAGGAGTTTGTATCACCAGGGAGGCGTGGAAGGCTTTCGTGTCTGCAGTCGAGCATCGCCGTGGCGGCTGCACGTTCCTTGGGCAGAGCGCAGATCCAAGCTACAGTGTAATCTGTATATGTGAGCTTCCTCTGGGACGAACTGGTGCTACTGGGTCCGATGGTGTTGGGAATATCATCAACCCGGTATCTGGACTTATTCCGCCCTTGCCCAAACCCCGCATCGTCGTCCCTTTCTCTGGGCCTCTTGCGGCAAGCCTCGGTAGTAATGTATACATTATTCATGGCGACGGCATATGCAGGGGTCTGAGAACGGACTCCTAGGGTTGTAGACTGGACTAGATCTCCGAGAGATAAAAAGAATACTGAAATGCGACGAGAAACTGTTCTCACTTGCAACAGTCTACGTACGAGTGCGAGAAAGTCTCATGCTGTCAGGTAAGGCACCAATTAGGCGACGCTTTTTGTTTTCCATTTTTCACGTGGCCTCATTGGCCAAAATCAATACCCGACCGCTCCAAATCGAGCGTTGACCTGTGGTGTTTCTTTGTATGGGGTAAAAAGCCGCACCTCGCCATTTCATTTAGAGGACAGGCACTGGGCTCCCTTATCTGACGTTACATCACAGCATACCTAGTCATGCGCAAGTATAGGAACGCACAATGTCGCTGAAAATAAATCCAAGGCCTTGATCTAAAGATATATCCTTATCGAAAAGAATTGGTGAAGTCCTTCGAGATCTTTCGGCCCTATATTGGTAAGGACAATCAGAGTGTCACAAGAACGAACCCGTCATATTAGTAGGTAACCTCAACGTAATCAGATACCTCCAAGAGTTCCATACGAGGCATACCAACAATATGAGAGCCTCATTGAAGATGATTCTTGGAAGAATTCAATTATCTAGATTTTGGTATCAAGAGCTCTGCTATCCGGGCTCTATAGAAACTGCCTGTATTACTTGTCGTGGAGCTCTTCCAGAAGGGCCGTGCCGTTCAATACCACGCCTGATTAAATGACTGCGCTCTCTCATTAAAAGTGGTATGTGATAGGCAAACCGACGGGCCGAGTTAAGCTATTAGGCTACTGGATCCTGCTGTGCCCCCCACGGTGTCTCATCTGATTCATTCACGGTCAATTGCTCGCTTAAACTTGATCACTGTGGTACTGATAGGCCCTTCTGCTCGCTATTTCAGATCTCGCCATTGGTCGTTACTACCGTCATCGTGAGAGATATCGAAGCAGGTGCTACCTACATTCCCACTTTATATCTATAGGTGAATGGGAAGGAGTTTCGGCATAGGTAGCTCCCTTCTATATAGGTATCTGGCTCGGGGATGTTGAGAGCAAGTGCGTCACGCCGCCATGACGGGGCACCTGCCTTACCCACGGTTGCCTGGGCACGACGGGCATGAAGTAGCAGTTGCACTTGCCGGTAAGTAAGGTAAGTAGCTCTGAATAGGTGGCCCACACCTCAGCCTGAGGACAGAGAGGTGAGGTGAAATCCTAAACCTCTCTGCCCATTCATCAATTCTAGATCTACCAAGAGCGCAGTCAAAACTGACCCAGCGTTCGTCGATTTCCATTTCTCATCCTAAGCTGCATCAACGCCCCAAATTAAAGAGCAAAGCTACCATCATTCACCTACTTGCTGCGCGTTTCTAGCTAGTTGCGTGCAACCCGCTTCTAACACCCATCATGAAGCTCACTTCCTTCACGGCGGCTGTTCTTGCGGGTGCCATGGGCATCGTACAAGCACTCCCAGCAGCCCACGATCAACAACCCACCGACCCCATGAATCTTTGCTGCCAAGGACTTGGCATGAATGACGACTCTTGCACTGGTGTGAAGTGTCCGAAACCTACTCTCACGGCCTGGCATGTTGAAAACTCCAAAGCGGAGCTCACGCCAGCTGACGACCAGAAACCGTGCTGCTGCTGCGACATCTCCATTCCTGCAATATCATGCAGGCTCCGACCTGAGAAAGATGGATGCATGTGCGCCATGGTTGTGTGTCCCCCCGAAAGTCCTACTATTTGGCCAGGATCAACTACGTCTCCCACAGCAACCCCTACTCCTACTCCCACTGACGAATAGGATGAGAAAACAAAGGGTTTCTGTTGTGACAGTTCTGTTTTCCTATTACTTCCAGCATTCTACCAGATCATCCAAATTCGGGAGGAAAGAGGTTGGAGTCCTCCACAGAGAGCATTACACATTCGCACAACGCAGGCAGCTGAGCTTCAGCGTGAAGTGAAATGGCTCGCCTCCAAAACGTTCAGAAGGAATTCATAGGGACAAAGATGGTGTTGGGCAAAGAGAAAGCATGTATAATGTTATTTGTGAAAGAAAATGCTGATGTATACTCGGCTCAAAGCAGGATCATGGGATCCAATGGCAGGTGACAACCATCTATGAGGTTCGTAGTAGGGAGTGATAATTCAGAAACCAACATCAATTTACTCAGTCAAGATTCATTAAGCTCAATGATGGCATAATCGTTTCCCTGGCGAGGTCGGACGGTGTGTGGTAGAAGAAGTTCAAGATGGAAGCGTCAGGATAATCGTTGATATTTTTTTCTGCCGGATTTGTACATTCGTCTGCTATTTACAGCTTGAACAGAGCACATGTGCCATATATACGTTTAAAGATATATGACGGGGTCTTGCACCAATCCGTGCCCGATGGGTGGATGGCTGACCCCTGCTCATGGAATAACATTTTGAAGAGTAGTATGTTGTAGATCCAGGAGCTCATACCGGATCAGGAACTAGACTCACTAGACCCGGCCGGTCTCCAAATCCATCTGTAGCTGGTAGAAATTTGTAATCACCCACGACTCAGGAGTGTGCGTAATCACGCGTGGAGGGGGATGATAATAAGGCTGCGTTGCTGTCGCCCAACTCCTCCCTCTATGCATGAGCGGGCTAATTCCGGATTTCCGCGATGGGGAATTACGGCTGTCGGGTATATAAGCTCGCTTTTTGGCAACGGGAGTCTAAGTTGTCCAGATATTCGCGTTAGCACCTCAGTTTGGGGCTACGCGCAGACAAGATCCAGAATGGGATGCGTAGTACCTGGCTGTTACAACCGAGCCGTTGGCGTGAAAGCTTGCGACCACCGTCACGCCGAGTAATTACCATCCCAAGGCATGCGCTAGGAGGCGCTGAGGATGGCTGACTTAATAGTGGGAAATAGGTGGGCTGGTGGTGGGCAGCCCCGGGAAGTGCGCCAAGTCCGTTAGGTAGGGAGCAGAGGCCTCGGGCATTCTTTTCAGTGACCTTCTCCGCCCACGACGCGATACATCCGCCAAACACGGATCTCGTCCCTCTCACCTGTCCCCAGCGACTGCCGACCAACATGCGGCTGCGTGAGTGAGACCCCCTAACGTCAACCCAGCACCAGCACAACATCAGCAGGCAGGTGATAGATGTTGCAGACGTTTTGGCGAGACCGTACTGCCGTCTGCGACATCTCACAACGGCTGAGCGGGTCGCCCGTGTCCCGCAGTCGTGATTGACGCAACCCGAGACGAGGGTCCGTTACACAGAACTGACTGATGTCGACCACCCGGCCTGTCTCGCCATGGATCACCACCACCACTCGCCTCCGGCACCTGAGTTGGCATCGGCATCGGCGTCGGGGTCAGGCTCAGGTTCAGGGCGCCAGCAGCTCTCTTCCGTCCCGCACCATCCCACCACGCATTCGCTAGCGAAAGGTTCATCAGCTCTTGATTCTCCTCATCCACTGCCCAAGCGCAGACGGACAGCATCCCAAACGTCTTCTCGCTGCTGCCGTACTTGCAGGCTACGCAAGGTAAGGCCTTCTTATGAAGTCTTTTTGTTTGTCTTCCTAGCAACACATTTGAGACTACCTACCCCGTCATTTCGCGTGAGAGACATGGACGCTCGTCCCACTGGCGATACCAGCCACAACGGGACTATTACTCTTGACCTTATATTCCAAACATTTGTGTCGCCTGTCTGATACGAACACATGACTTACTCAACATGCCCATAGGTGAAATGCACCGGCAACCCAGGCACCGGAGAGCCGTGTAGCAATTGCGGAAGACTTGAATTGGCATGCCCTTTCGCTGAGAAGCAGCAAGAAACCGTCCAGGCTCCGGCAGGTAGGTGGAAGCAAAGCCAAACCCATGCTGAGCGTTGGAGTGAATACAAGCGCTATACTCCACCTCTCCCAAGGCGGCCACACCTTGTATCCAGGTGAATGTCGATGCTAATATTGACTTAGAGGACAAGATTTCGAGGATAAAGCCTTCACACAGCCATACTGAGGCGGGCACTCTTCGGAAGAGGGCTCAGAGGGCCTGCAACCAATGCCATTCACAAAAGACCAAGTGCTCTGGCGATCTACCTAGGTGTAAGCGATGTGAGGCTGGCGATCTCAAGTGTGAATACACTCCCGCCAAGCGACGATTTGCAAATGTCCGCCTTCAGTCAGAATCGAAGAGCGAGGAGCCGCCAACGCCAACGACCGTTGCAGCGAGCCCCCCCAGCCCTTCCCTAGCTCCCAAGAAGGAAAGGAGTCCCTTTTTGAGCCCACGAGGGAAGGACGGCAAGCCTAGCGAATACTTTCCGCTGATGATCGACACCTCGAATCTAAGCTCCCAGTATGATTGTTCCTTTGCCTTGCTCCCCACTGTCTTCTCTACTAATGGCTCTCTCAGGGAGCTACTCACACGCAAGCATATCATCCTCCGCCATCTGGATGCATACTTCGAGCATATCTACTGGCTGCCATGCATGGGCTACTTTCACCCCGAAACCGCCCGCCGGCAAGTTCACGTAAGTTACATTCTCGATGGTGGGCTTAAGCCTCACAAAGTTCGATATCTAACCATGACAAAGGAGGGAACATTTGACGCACCCACCGCAGCAGCTGTGTGTGCAATTGCAAGCTTCTTCGTCAACCCCGGCGACGGGGCCAAAGAGTTCAGCCTGAAGTGCCTGGATGAGGTGGAATTCTTCTTCTTCCGGAACATTCATAAATTTTCCGAGGCTGTACTCATCCCGTACTCTCTCATTATATCGTTTAATTTCCTCAATGGCTCGTTTGCCAAAGTCTGGCAAACGCTTGGTATCGCCATTCGTTTGGTCACCGGCATGCAGCTGAACTGGGACTACGTCATGCAGCATCGGTCCTTTCAAGACCAGGAGCGATTGCGGCGGGTCGCCTGGCAGTTTTTCGTCTTGGATCGCATGCTAGCTGGCGGCTACGAAGAGTATATTTCATGCCGGGCTGACATAATGAAGATCCGCCTTCCATGCCAGGAAGAGGCCTTCTGGGAGAACAAGCCCATAACCGCCGAGAGACTCCATGAGAAACCGGCAAGTTGCAAAGGGATCGGCCTCCATGGGTTGAATGTCCGCCTTGCCGACATCAACCATAGGATCCAATCGTAAGCTTTTGGCGCTTTGCCACTTCCATTCTTGCTAAGCCGGGGTGATATGATGCTAACTTTACCAGGTGGTCAAAAAGGCTCACGCAGCGGGTTTCTCTCGAGCCTTCCAAGGTAATGGAGGATATCAACAACTTCCAGAATGAGCTTACATGGTTCCATGCTTCTATCCCCAACGATATCAGATTAAGTGATCAAAGCCTCTCAAAGTTCATGGCATCTTCTGAGCGAGTTGGTTATGTTTATTTCCATACGCATTTATCAGTTGGCCACATTGACTTGTATCGTTTTGCCCTTCCAGGCATCCTGGATTCAACGAAGAACGATATTCTCCGCCGTCTACCTCCAGATTTCGTTCAGAGGGCCAGAAAGCAGGTCGTTGCTCACGCTCTGTGCACGGGCCGTTTCTGTGTCGCTATACAGGACGAAATGGACCGACTAGCAAAGTCAGGCATTACTGGTTTTGCTGGTGATGCTACGATTGCTCACATGGCAACACAGTCCCTTCGCGTCTTCCTAGTCGCCATACAACATGAAATCTATGACGATTTAACAGAAGGCACAACAGCGCCATTGTGGCGCTTTCAACAGCCAGATGAGGCGTATATTCGATCACTCATCATCAATGGCCTCTTCCGTGTGTCTGAACCATGGTGTCCAGTTCTGGTAGCCTGTCAACAGTCTGTACGTATTAGATACGATTTGTTTCTTCTTCGTGTGTCAGCTAACTTGTGTACAGCATGCCAGTAACAAAGCCATGTTCGAAGAATTCGAGAAAACCAAGAGATTTACTGACGCAAAGGATGCCTACCGCAATAAGCTCAAAGCTACCGACAGCTCGGCACGCCTCCCAGGGCCGCATTATATTCTCGAGAATGCCAATCACGGTGTCGCCGAGCAAGACCAACGTGCCCGAGCTTCTGAAGCAGCAGTCGCCAAACGCTGGTTTAACGAACCAAAACAACAGGCAGAGCCAATGGCCTATCCACCAGCCGATCTTGACTTTGACATGGAATATGGGCCCCCAGGTATCCCCATGATGCTTGCTGTTGCCAGAAATCCGGACACGGGACGAAGTGACAACAATGTCAACTTCCTGTATGACGGTGACCGGGAGGCCACAGCCCTCCTGCAAGACAAGGTCTGGCTCAATGGTGGAATCATTGCACCTGACAGCGGCCAAATGGCTTATGTTGCAACTCACGCTGGAGTTCCTTTCATGCAGATAGGCTCAACCGATCCAAATATGATGTTTCCGCCACCGCAGCCTCCCCCTCCCCCGCCATCAACTTTGCCTCATTCAACTACAGCACCATTCGTCCCTAGCCAAGCTGGTATATATATGGACACCTGGGCCGCGCCGCCATACGAAAATCTTCACTCCGCTCCGTACATGCGACAACCTAACTTTAACTAACGAATTTCATACGGAGGCAGCGATTTATTATAATTCTTTTTTAATTTACTCAACCTCTTATCAAAAATGCACTGGCCTCGTAACAGAGGCTTGTAGATACGACGACTGATTGCAAAATCGCACCAATTATGATATCTTGTATCGGATTGGATAACCGATATCCTTTTTCTGATCATGAAAATATTGAATTAGCAAATATATATTCCTGAATATATCCATGACTTCCAGTCGTGTAATTGAATGCCAAATGATAGAATATATTTTCTCCGGTCTCGTTCATGCATGTCGCCTCCTACTCCACAACGACCAAAAAGGGTCTCCTCGGCAATTTCCTTGATTGCTACAGGGGTTATGCGTTTCGCGGTATTCAGCACTAGACTGCCGGTTTAGGTGGTTTCCGAATGATACTCCAGTCGCAATTCGAGATGACTGATGGATCAGTGAGTGCGAAGAGCAGGAATCACAGAGCGTGGGCAATCCGCTGGTCGTGCTCTGTGAAACGTCACTAGATAGGACACCCTTTTGAAGCAATTCCGCATCCACGCCATCTTCCACATGGATTGCACTATTCAAGCCTATACCCCTGCCTTTTAAAGTGATTGCGTGGTCTTGGACCGGTCCCAGGGGACAGGCTTAACCAACCTCCCGGAGGAACAGCATTAGTAAGGGGTCTGGCCCTCATTCCCAGTCGGCCAACGCCATCCCTTTTATCCAGCCGGGCGGTGTTGCTTTCAAAACTTCCCCAGTCTACAGTGTACATCAGTTACATAGATTCAAACATAAATTAGTGTGCAGTTATCATGCGAGTTGCTGTACAGCTATTGTACGGATTAAAGATTACATTGACCGAGGAAAATATACTGCTCAGTCCAAGAGTAAAGACGCACGCGTATGTATGTACGAAGTACATTCAAACCCCCAGTCCCATAAGGGTAATTTGCCACGGTCTAGAATCAACACCGGCGCCTTTGATTAGTGTTCTGGCACTGACAAGGGAAAAACAAAATAACGTGTCAAAGACATGCCTGCCCTGCCATGCGCTATGGCCAAGAACAATGTACAGGGGTTGTGGAGGATTTGCCACGAGAAATATTCTCTGGCAAGCCAGACAAGGGACACAGACTTTGAACGAGTACGAAGATTGTAGTCATAAAAATCATAAAGAGTGCACTAATAAATTATACACTATAAAATATACAGCAATGTCACTTAGGGCGTCGTCCGGTGAGGGACGAGTAACAAAGATGCCAATATACCTTTTTGATCCAGCCGCCCCCCATTGCTCCCGCCGAACGGGAGCTACTAATATCCTCGCTCCCCCAATCTGGGCAGATGAGCCTTGACAGAGCGACCAACAGTCGAGGGAGGGTCGGGACGACACAAGATCTAGCTATCTGATGATCAGATGGCGAGTAGTAAAGTGATAAACCACGCTAGTTGTCCGTGTCATGAGAAGATCCAAATGGAAGAATGATAATAAACCCCAGCGCTGATAAAGCGGCCTTGTAGGAAAAGGTTGAGAAACCCTACACAAGCCAATAAAAGTTCTATGCCATAAAAGAATTGAAGATCCAGTCCTCTGGAGAAAAGAGGAATACTCCACAGGAGGGTTTTCGCCAACGGTTGAGCCTGTGGGGATCCGGGAGAAGAAGAATAAAGGGTATGTCGAAGAAACGAAGAATGTCGATTAGACGTTCATCACATTATTGGAATTGGGTACGGTCCTTCTCCTTGAGGCCGCCAATTTGATCCATATCCACCGAGTAGAAGCCGTTCTTGTCATCCTTCTGGTAAGGAGGCAGCTGCTCCTCGGTCATAGGCTCAAGGCCGACGGTGGCATTCTCACCAACGCGGACGACGAGAACACGAGGGCCCCTCAGCTGGCCCTTCTCGTCAACCTCATCAGGAACGGTGATGTGGATTTCTGGGACGTTGTCAGGAGAGTTGGGTGGGGAGTTGGGGTTGGCGAGCATTGGGTTGCTGTCGCGTCGAATGAGAATGGTGCTGGCACGGCCATTGTGCTTGGTCTCGATGGTGAGACCGTTCAGGTTTGTGGTGCTCTCGTACATGCCAAGCTTGGCCTCTTGGTAGTCGTTGAGGGCATCCTCACGCATGCGGTGCAGGTTCCTTTGACGACGACGGTAGGTAATGAATGCGGTGACGGAGCCGAGGAAGAGAGCGCAAAGGCCAAGGACGATGAGGAGGATGGTAGTCTTGTGGTCGGGTTCACTCTCAGAGTCCCGGGTCATGATGGCTCGAGCCAGGTTCTGAATGTGGGAGCCAGCCTCCAAGGGGCTCGAGACGTAGGGAGAGGGCGCCATGACGAGCGATTATGTTGGTTCACGGGTAGTATAAATGAGGGTATGGTGATCTTTTCTAATATCCATGACTTGGTCAGCGCTCCATGATCTCACGCGTAGTCGTGCATGCAGTGGGTGTCGAATGCGATATTCAATGATGCAGGGAAGAGTTCCGCCTCGCCGTTTCAATTGCGCTCGCTGAGTGATGCAATCGCATTCCTCCATGGGGTCGGCAGCGTTGGTCGAGTCCATTGACACCCAACTCAGCCCCGAGACAATCCCATGCCACTGCGAGGTTCAGGTGGCCAAAAAGAGCCACAGGAATTCATTCCAGAAGCGATAACAAATCAACAGCTCAAGGGGGGACGGGGTAAAGCAATAGCATGGGAAAGCCAGTAATGAGACGACAGATTGACATACATGGTGAGAAACAGAAACGTCAATAAATCATAAGAGTGTCTTGTTAACACTGTTGGTACGAGTCACCGCAAAGGAAGCCGACGGCGTATTAGCAATGAAGATCGTTAAAAGGAGTGTTGAGAATGAATCGACGGATTGTTGGTGTTTCGTTTGTTTCCGAGGGCAGGAACAATGGTCGGTGTTGCGAGGGAGAGTGGTAGGGGAGGTGAGGGAAGGACTGGACGGAGCCACCGCTGAAAGAATGAAGCTGGTGATCCTAGGGAGTCGTAAAGAGCGGGATGAAGAAGTAGATGAGGCCTGAAACGCAAGAGCGTCTCTGTTGACAGGATGCCTATGGGAGTCGGAGGTGGATGAGGAGAGAGGATGGAGAGAACTGGAATGGAAACAGGTCCACGGCCATATTAGAATGGGCCTGACTAGAGAATCGGCACAGCCAGACGCCAGACCCGGCCGGAGCACCACCCCACCCCTACTACCACCAAGGTCGCATGGAGCACGCTTACGGCCACCAGGGCATCAGGCGACAGCGCTGGCGGCCCTGTTGGGGGGCCTGTTGGCTTCTGGGGAGCAGGACGGGCCTTACTGCTTAGGGCGGGTGCGCACTGTGACGCACGCTGCAGACAGCGCCTTGGGTGGCAGAAGTGGGCGCGGTGGACGGCCCAGGGTTGGGATTTGAAATGAGGCACATGAGCGCTTGGATCATGGCCGCCTACCATTGGCCGAGCTGCAGGTACGGACCCAATGGGCGAGCTCGCTGCTCGTGCACGTCGCCCGTCTCCAAACGACCGTGTCTGCACTAAAAGACCTCAGACGGGGGGTTGAAGGTTCATGATTGGCCTCGACGCCCACGGCCCCTGGCCATGCCCCTGCCAAGTCTTGCGATCCTTTCTGCTGCGGTGGAGCTGCCGACAGTCAAAGTCTCTCGACCTCATTTCCATCTCGCCAGGGGCTTGGACAAACCGCCCTCATTGCGGCGACAGTGTGAATCGATTTTTCTGTAACTATGGCCATGATAGGCGCCGTTCCTGCAGATCCAATTATCATCACAGAGGCCTGCGTGCCGCCGCCTGTTCGTCCCCCGACTGCTTGGTTCAGCCGTTCTCCTATCCAGCCTGGCATCCTCCCCTGGAGATGGGCTCCCCTCTCCCCTCGGCTCTCCCTCTTTCCTATTCCATCCTAACGTGATGATGGGTTGTATCACGTATGCATGTGTAGTATGCCTCCTCTTCTGTGATATGGACCGTGTGGCAGGCCGTGTGTGGCATAGCCTCGCCTGCTTGTGGACAGGGAGTGCAACAGTCGTTGAAAAGTGGGCGAGTGGATGGTCTGTAGTAATATGCAAGGTACGGCCAATCCCATCACCCAACCGTTGTTGTATTTTTGGTAGGTAAGGATCAATTACCTACATCGATGGGTATAGTTATAGCAATTCACTGGTTCATCGCCTTTCTGGATCGGAAGTGAGTAATTCTTGCATACATCTCACCACTTCTAAACCTAGAAGCGACTGCTATTTATTTCTGCTTTATATTGTATCGTTTATTGTATTAACTTGACACGCCTTCGTTATTTTCGTCGGCTCTTACTCATTCATGCTTCGACTGAGAGGAGAGCGGGGATACACGCGGCTCAGTCCGTTTAGCATTGGGGATGGAGCACACCTGACCACCTGACCAGGGAAATAATTAAATCTTCAGAGTGATTTCAGCCCCCATGTGCTGCACTTCACCAGGTCTTCAGGTAATACATACCGCTTGACGTGCCTGTCTGAAGTCGTACGCAAACACCCCATGTCGCCCCGTGTGGTGTGTCTGGGCGAATGTCGTGCGTCCAGAGACAACCCGCAAGCTCAAACATATGCAGTAGTCCCATACCTCACATGTTGATCATCCTGTATCAAAAATGTGTGAGCATGGACGCTACACGACATGGCAAAGCACGCGCACCTCCGTAGAGGCTTGGCTCTGATTTCTGGGAGAGGCTGGCACCGACGTCATGACAGCCTCCGCCTTCTTGTATCCACGCGCAATGGATTGGATGCAGAAGGACGAGCCGATCCCTCAGATCAATAAAAAAAAATATCCTCAATACTACAGAATCTCGCTTTTTTGCTTGATTCTGCTGCCAAATCGCTCGTAGTTTTCGAGGACACTGCCGAGACAGATCTTCGAAGCGAGTCGTAGCTCATTTCGCCAGCAGCGAGCCTCAGCCAATGTCGACGTATGGTTAGAATCCATCTCACGCAAGGGGGACCTAATCCAGCCGAGTCGCATCTGAATGGAAAGATGGTGGCGGTGGTACAGCCTCGCACGAGACGGGTAGCCGTAACATATGCGGCCATGTCCGTGATACAGAACTTGGCACCACCAATTGGACACACTGGCTGTGAGAGGCAGACCCATTCAACGACCAGCAGCAAGTGATGCACGGGTTGGGGGTAAGCTTGAAATGCATTCTCTTGAAACATACCGAGTAATGCATTACCGAGCATCATATGCGGCAATAGCATAGGTAGCCCAATAGTGCCTTTCCGCGTGTCAGTGTTCATCATCACCCACCTCGCGGAGGTGAACGTCCGTTCGCTTCCAAGAGGTAGGTTGCCAACTAGTGAAAAGTCACATTCCTGAGTTTTACGCCCCGGGCGGCTTTGCAACGCAAGACACGAGCATGGAAGCTTGGCCAATAATGACGGACAGGCTTGGTAGATCGACCTACCCAACCACCCATCATCAAAATGTTGTTGGACTTGGCGGGATCAGGCCCAGGCGCAAGCCTTCCCAGGGTTTCCTTGAGCAGATCGTTCCGAGCCCTGCGGGGGAGGCTCCTCATTTGTAGGCAAGGCTGTTGAACGAGACATATGTTGGGCTCTGCGGCTAAGACAACGCAAGGCAGCAGTGGTAAGCGAGAAGAAGGTGGTCAGCGGTCCATTGGCCTTCCACTGAAGAGGCATGGGAATCGGGGCCATTTGTCCCCTCGCTGACCGATAGTCAGGCTTGCCAAGGCCGTCCATATCGTTGACGCTTGTACAGAGGACAAGATGTCAGAAGGGTCGAAGCAGACCTGGGATGGTGTCTCTGAGCATGGCCTGCTCCGGCCAGAAGGATTGGGGCGGCCGCCGTCATACCTACAAGCAAACAACCTCGGGGCTCTTTGGTACTACCTACATAGATTGTTCAGATACATCGATATAAGTCGTCCGCGCAAGCTTCCTCAATACAGAGTCCTGCCCATCCATGAGCTAACATCGAGATACACGGAAGGCGCACATACGAATACTGTAGATTTCACGCCACTGCTCAAGATCGAATATCTAGCCCATCGGCCCACTGTAAATAACCGTGTCCATTGAGTGTTCTTGATAGTATAATGTTCACTATTACCTTTGTCGTTTCTTATAACCATAAATCACGATTTCTTGGCAAATGAAGAAGTAGTGTTCCAGTCCAAATGATCCTATTAATAACACTGGATCTTGCCAGGCGATTCGCCACGTCTTTGGTATTTTTGACTGAACTCGCCCATAACATAGGCATCTCGGCTCCTCCTCCACTTAGATGGCCGAAAGCCATTGCAGGGCATGTGGAGTATGCTACACACTCACAAGAGTGTAGCAGGGCAAGTTGAGTTGCTGCTGTTTACTGGCTAAGTGGACGGCCGTCATGGGAGCTAACCCGGTACAAGAAGCCATCAATCGCCCTCCGCCGGCCGGACACTGGTCGCGTGACAGTTGATCAAGGCAGCCGTGTAGGACTCGGTTTGGTGTCTGCACCCACAACATGCTACTCTGATCAGCGTGCAATCTGCTCTTGCTAACCAAATAGGTAGACTTTCCGTAACTAGAATTGGCTAGCTCTCGCTCTCAAGAACCGTTATGCCAAAGGCCAACCTTCTCGTGCCCGCGGGCGGAGCCTGTCCTGTCAAACTTGGCGCTAACTGCCCCGAGCTGGTTTTACACGATGCCCCTGGCCCACACCACCAGGGGCTTGGCTTCTACCTAAGGGCACGGAACTTGCAATTAGCGCTGTCGACTAAAGGTAAGGTAACCCAAGCAACTTTGGCACAGACGAATGCCATCTGAATCACCTTGGCATCGTAAGTGATACTAGACAGGACTCCCCAAGACAGACCAGTCGCGCCAAGGCGAGAGGCAATTGCGAGGGCATGATACAAGGGCTACAGCTTTGGGTTATGCTGAGATGGAAAGGGAAGAACAAGGGGGAGGATGGGATAGTAAAATGCAGAACCATGTGTCACTCGGCCGGGATGGGAGAGCCTGATTGAAGCTTAAGAGCCCGAGAACCAAGCCTGAGTCTTGGGCGCCCAGAGCCCTCGGACAGACGAGCAGAATGGCCACAATTCCCTGCTTGACTGACTTGAAACCAGCACCTGGGCCTCTTCCGCAATGACGTGCAGAGCGCTGGGCAGTACCCGAAGGCAAGTACCGGTAGTATTGGTGTGTCGCTGTGGGGTGACATCCCTTGTTGTTGCTCCCGGCTTCCGATCTCTTGGCAGCAGGAAGCCCCTCCCTCCTTCTTCTATTTTGATAGGCAATTGACTTGACTCGTCCCACCTCTTCACTACGGCAGCAGAGAGAGGGGCGG